CGGTAGTGGGCCGCAGCCCACAGGTTAGAGACCCCTGGTCTAAAGAACAGAAGATGATCTCAGGACCTACCACTATATGGACTTACTGTCTTTTAATTTAAATTGGCCTGAACCTAGATTAGCCATTCGATATTTCAAAAAAGTTAAGAGTTCTTTGCTGTTCACTGACCACTAATTCACAGGGTACCTTAAATAGACGTCCCATCAACTGACAATTAAAATAGACTCAGAAGTGATTGAAATAAATTCTGTAGATATACTCATAAATTGTTCTATCCCTGTTAACAGAATCCTTCTCATTTTGTGTCTTTGTGTGTTCTGAGGGGTCCTTGGTGCTCTGTGAGCTTCGTTGTTTTCTTGCAGATGTTTCATTACCCAAACCAGGTAACATGATCAGTTTGTCACTGGAACATCTGCAAGAAAACAACCAAGCTCATTTCAACCCTGAGCTACAAATATTCTCCTTTACTTGTGTGTTGTGTTTTCATCTCGGCTTGAAGGTAAAAGGAGGCTTCAAATGTAGGAGTTTCACTTATTTTCAGAATGCAAACACGTCAGTGTCCTGTTCATACAATACTACATGAAGACTTGTTTGTGCCAGATTTCAGGTTTGCCGACATGGCCTCCATGGACGTTTGGAAGGCGAGCTCCGTCCTCCACGTCCAATTTCGCTTTGCTGGGGGACCCTGGAAAAGGTTGAAAGTCGCCCTGTAGAGGTGACCAGCAAGGAGGGGACCCTCACTTGATCGCAGGAGGGCAGTAGCCCTTCCGCTCGATCCGGGGTAGCCCTCCAAACCGGTGGACGAAAGACCGGCCATAGAAATATGGCTTGTCACTAGACTGCAGACAGCCGAAGTCACATTTACCATCAGGCAACTATAAAGCAGTGTGGATGAGACTGGGTGAGATCTACCTCTCTTAAATCCTAACTATCTTTTTTTTTACCTGCATAAGCTGCTCAAAGTACTTTTCCCCCCCTGTGGAGAGGGAAGGGAGATTTTATGCCTCCCTCTAAAAGCAGCGGCGACTGACTATCCAGGGGAGTTTAAAACGTTGCAAGAATAACTTGATCCTAATTGGAATTTTATTTTTTTTTAAAGTAGTGGACTAAAAGATTTTTTATTCTTACTGAAGATCTGGGTTTTTACTTATAAAAAAGAAGTAAAATTGAAAAGATTACAAGGATTTTGGACTCAAAAGAAAACTCTAAATGGTATGGGCGACATCTTGTGGGTAAACCTGATATTACAGCTTGTTATTGCTTAAAGGAGACTTGGCCAGTAGCCCAGACTATAGATAAGACTTTTGTAACCTTGAGATATCAGCTGTGAGAAGCCCAGCTGTGATTTATATTTAGTGACCCAAAAAATTTTTTTCTGCATTCTCTGACTGTAAAGCTTTTAACGTAATACACTACTAAGAGAATATGGATGATCAGGAACAGATTCTCTTTATTGAAAGCAATTTATGAAACTATTCTTACTGCTACTGATGAAATAAGAAAAGAACAAGATGTCAGCCCAGATATACAAACTCAAACTTTGATTACAACTAAAAAATCAACTACACAGAATATAATAGAAGCAATTAATTGGAGCAATTAAATATTATGACAGAAGATTCAACTGACCAATAAACACAGTTAATAGAAAATCCAGAAAAGGGACTGACAACATGGAAAAGGGGAAAGGCTTCCTATATAAATCAGAAGAAACCTGAGGATCAAGAAGAAGAACAGACTGAAGAAAAGATAAACAGTTCAGGACAACTACGTCGAGATGGAAAAATAGAGAGACAATCTGTTAGTCCGCTCAAAAAAACAGCGACCAGATGGCTCTTTCTATGTCAAACAATATACATAACAACACAGGGAGATTTATTTAATGACTCAAAAGCACAGACATGGAAGACGATTTAGCAAAGAAAGAAAGCTAGAATAAGACTGAAGAAAATTGGGGTTTTGACTTATCAGTAAGAATTAAAATAGAACATACTCAAATAGATGTGTACTTTGAATACTAGATATTATTATGAGTTGAGATAAAGAAAACTTTGGAAGTATAAATATTAACAGTTAAATTTGAACATTGATTTGCTTATAAAGGTTAAATGTAAAGGTAATTAAGACATATATAAGCTAAAAATCTATTGATGACTGTAATAATGTGTTTTTACTTAGCAGTAATAATAAAAACTACTAGTTCAAATATGAGATAGTAAATATTAAGAGAAAAGGAGAGGAAGTATTAAATGTTGAAATAAGATAAATTTTGGTTACTAAATTTAAGAAATTTGGAAATTATTAGAAAATAAGAATGTTATATTGTATTATTAATTAGTTGATGTAAGATGGTAAGAATTCAAATAGATAAGACGTGTATCCTGAACATTAGATCTTGTGATGAATTGTGATAAAGGGAATTGGGGTTATTTAAAACTTGGAAATTATAAATATTAAACGTTCAATTTAAATATTAATGGGAAACTAAAAATTGGGAACAACTAATTAGGACATTGATTGTCTAAAAAGATTGAATGTTAGAATTGTATTGGTTTAAATATGAGACAGTAAATACCAAGGGGAAAGGAGAGGAAATATTTAATGTAATAGTTTGAGATCTGTACTAAAGATATTTGTATGTTATTACTGATCAACTCAGCTGCCACGTTGCTTTTCAAATATTTAAATGTAAAACTAGAAAATCAATAAAAAATTTAAAAAAGACTGTTTGTGCCAACTTGCAATTGGATTTTAGTTTACAATGTTGAACGACACATGGGTGGCATGCCAAAGTCAAGTTTTAGATTAATGCTATCTTTACTAGAGGTGACCTGATAGCAGTGTTCCAATATCTCAGGGGTTGCCACAAAGAAGAGAGAGTCAAGCTGTTCTCCAAAGCGCCTGAAGGCAGGACAAGAAGCAACGGATGGAAACTCATCAAGGAGAGAAGCAACCTAGAACTAAGGAGAAACTTCCTGACAGTGAGAACAATTAACCAGTGGAACAACCTGCCTCCAGAAGCTGTGAATGCTCCAAGATAAGATTTTTAAGAAGAGCCTGGACAGTCACTTGTCTGAAATAATATAGTGTTTCCTGCCTGAGCAGGGGTTGGGCTAGAAGACCTCCAAGGTCCCTTCCAACTCTGTTATTCTATTCCAGTGGTGGCGAACCTATGGCACGCGTGCCAGAGGCAGCACTCGGAGCCTTCTCTGTGGGCACACGTGCCATTGCCCCAGCCTCACCTCCCCCTGTGACCCCCTCCTCACCAGCAGCCCCCCGGGAGGAGAGTCACCCCCAAGCGTGGCCCATGCGGAGCAGTGCAGCGAAGGACATGGCAGCCAGGCAGCGTAAACTAGACTCTGCCCTCATGCCCCATCGCGTACAGTTGATGCTGTGGGGTGTGGGCAGAGGGCGTGGCCGCCATGGCGCTGCTGGGCTGCCTTGGCGATCTGCAGCGGGCCTTAGAGGCGGTGAGTGGTCCTGCGGGCAGGCGGGGCAGAGGACGGGGTGGGGGCAGAGTGGGGGCAGGGCAGGAGGTGGAGCAGGGGCAGAGCCAGTTTTTGGGCACTCGGTCTCTAAAAATTTTGCCATCACTGTTCTATTCCATTCCATTGTCTAGTCTAGTCTATTCCCTGTTCCAATCCTATCCTATCCTATCCTATCCTATCCTATCTTTACAATTCTCTTGTCAAATGCCACTGTTAATTCTTGGAGTGATGTCCACACCTTATTACAATTCTAGAAGAATCTGTCAATCCAAAAGGAAAACAATACAGGTAGCCTTGATTTGCGATTCATTTAGCAACTACCGTATTTGAAATTACAACGGCACTAAAAATGTGATGTACAACGGGTACTCACACTTACAACCAGTATCATCACAGTCACATGAACCATATTCAGTGCTTGGTAACTGACACATATTTACAAGGATTGCAGCATCCTGGGATCATTGTAATCGCCATTTGCAATCTTCCCAGCCGGCTTCTAATATGCAGGGTCAATGCAGGAAGCCGGATTCACTTAATGACTGTATGATAAGGTGACCAACTTTTTTACAATGAAAAGGAGGACACAAATAAATTGAAGAAAAAAATATCGTAAAAGCTGGCTCGGCGAATGGAAGGGTCACTTTTTTAAGTTCTAACTTCAAATGGTCACTAAACAGATGGTTGTAAATCAAGGACTATACATTGTATTTTATGGGTTGTGCAGATTAGAACAGCTTTGCAAACCAAGACACTCAAGTCTCCCAGATTGGCAAGTTAATTCACCTCCCCAGCCTGCAGTTCCAAGTTTGGCAAAAGAACAGCCCAGGAATTCTTGCTTGGAGCATTCAGACGAATAAATCCAGGGGGTCTTCAAACTTGGCCCTTTTACTACTTGTGGACTTCAACTCCCAGAATTCCTCAACCAGGCACGCTGGCTGAGGAATTCTGGGAGTTGAAATCCACAAGTCATAAAAGGGCTAAGTGTGAAGACCCCTGAATAAATCCAACGCCATTACGATGTCACTTCTGGCATCACCTGCGCGGGACATAGCTGGGCGTGATGTCGTAGCTATAAAAAAAAACTACATGTCCCAGGATGCCTAGCGGGCCCCGCCATTCCACTGCGAGCGTCAACTCCCCATCGGCGGCCGTGGGTCTCTAGAGATAGGAAAGTGAAGAGGAGCGTTCTGTAGCTTGGCGAAAGAGGAACTCCATTTAAGCTGGGACTTTGAAATACGCCCTGGAGAGGTCCATAGTGGGTAGCTGACGAGAAGGATTCTAACCGTGAGAGACTTCGGCTGCTTTACAGAATAAAAAACCTTTGTTCTAAACCAGCCTTTGAGAACGAAGGGGATCGACTCTTCATTTTTTCAAAGTCTACGGAGCAGCCTTTCAGCCTCAGAGGGGAAGAGGGCGGGGGCGGGGGCGGGGGCGGGGCCGCCGCGTGGGGGCTTCCCGGCATGCCGCGCGCTTGCGCATGCGGGCTCCGGTCGCGGGCGAGCGTTGCTGAGGGCTGAGAAGATGGAGCGCATGAAGGTGGTGCTGGGGCATCTGAGCGGCTCCCAGCAGCGGCGGGTCTGGGCGCCTTCCCCTTGCCGGGCCTCGCTGTCCGGCCCGGACGATGTGGTGGTGGTGCACGGACGGCGGACCCCCATCGCCAAGAGCAAGAGGGGCGGCTTCAAGGTAGGGGGAGGGGATTTAGGCGAAATCTCGTTTCTCTGAGAACAGAACCACAAGGCCCCCCCTCCCCCCCTCTCCCAACAACCCCTCCTCCCCCGAAACAGGGCTCCTTCAGAGGCGTCGGACTACAAATCCCATCACCCCCAGCCCCTCCCTGGGAGTGGGTAGCCCAGCACCCTTGGACAGGCGCGCGGATGCATTTGGGGGGAGGGGAGGCGTCCGTCCTTTTAGCCAGATCTTGACATGGGAGTTGTAGTCCAGGGGATTATGGGCCTGACCCCACTTAAAATGAGTTCGGATGTTATGGGGAGGGGGGGTAGGTGAAGAGGAGGAGGAGGAGGAGGAGACTGCCCGGGAGGGTCCAGCGCCTTATGGACTGCAGTTCCCATCATCCCCCACCAGCACCTCTAAAAACAGAGTGAGGGTGCCCAAGTAATCAATCTTTCTTTCTTTCTTTCTCCTTCTCTCCCTCCCACTTTCTTTCTCCGTCTTTCCTTTCTTCCTTCCTTCCTTCCTTCCTTCCTTCCTTCCTTCCTTCCTTCCTTCCTTCCTTCCTTCCTTCCTTCCTTTCTTTCTTTCTTTCTTTCTTTCTGTCTCCTTCCCTCCCTCCCACTGTCTCCATCTTTCTTTCTTTTCCCCTTCCTCCACCCCTTCCTTCTTTTCCAGGAAACTACACCAGATGAACTTCTGGCTGCAGTCATGACTGCCGTTCTGAACGATGTAAAGCTAAGCCCTGAGCAGCTGGGCGATATCTGCGTGGGTGAGCCTTCTCCCAAACTACTAGGCCAGGGAGAGGGGCTGCGGTCATCCCCCTTGCCTCCCTTTTTAAGCACTGGCTGCTGCAGCAGCTTATCTGGAAGGGCAACCAAACCCGGATAACCTAAGCAAATTCCTCTCGTTGTACTTAGGGAATGTACTTCAACCTGGCGCTGGAGCTATGATGGCGAGAATTGGGCAGTTTCTAAGGTGAACTTTGCCACTGAATCATCTAGAAGGGAGATCATGGGTACAAAACACCAGGGTGGGGACGAAAGAGGGATCTGATTTGGTTAATACTGGCAGGCACAAAGAAAGGCCATTTGACTAGTCCAGTTTGATATTGGGCACTTATACTCCTATTTTTCATTTGCTGTTTTCACTGTATCACTCAAGGGTATCCAACTGTGGCAACTTTAAGACTTGTGGACTTCAACTCCCAGAACTTCCCATGCTGAGTGGGGAATTCTGGGTGTTGAAGTCCACAAGTCTTAAAAGTTGCCCAGATTGGACACCTCTAGTGTAGCTGATGCAGCTGAGATTCTGTAGAAGGAGGAGCAGTTATTCATTTATTGACTGATTGATTTTTATCCTGCCTTTATTGATAAGAAATTCAAGGTGGCAAACAGACCTAATACTCCTTCCTCCTCCTATTTCCCCATAACAACAGCCCTGTGAGGTAGGTTGACCTGAGCGAGACTGATTGGCCCAAAGTCATCCAGCTGACTTTCATGCCTAAGATGGGACTCAAATTCAGTCTCCTGGTTTTTCAGCTAGCACCTTAACCACTACACCAAACTGCCTTTCTATTTGGTTTTTTATTTGTTGCTTATATTTATATTCCTCTTTTCTCCCTGCACTGTTTATACAGTATCATTGTGGTTTGCTGCTGGCACCACTGTCATATAGAAAAATGATATTTTTTTTAAGAAATTTTATTGGTTTTTTGATTTTTAAAACAAAGTACTCAAGACACACCATGGTGTTAGGGTAGTCAAACATCCAAAGACAAAATGTATATACATAATTCAATCAATACATCAGATATTCCCTCTCCTTTTCCCTTAAGTAACATAATTTATTTAAGATAGTCCAATTCTAGCTTAAATTATTCAACCTATACCTGTTTTTAAAGCTTTATACATTTACACTACCATAATCAAATTAACTTTAAGTACAAACATTATCAATTCGGGTATCCCTTCCAAATATGTTCTAGTTCCTTAATTTTATCATAATTCTTATTTACTTCTTCCACTAATATTCCTTAATTAAAATAAAATATTAATCTATCCTACACATATCTAATCCATCAATTAATCAATCTCTTTAAGCTGACAGAAGAAAATCAGACCTTAAATCATTTCACTCCATTAGCCAAAATTCAAATTTCATCCATAAAATTGTCATAACTAATAACATCCATGTTAAGAAAAATGATATTTTTAATAGTAACCGTGAATTAAATGTATGTGCCTAGGTCCGAACCACTCTGGACAGTTTTTGAGACCTTGGGGATCTTTTTCTGCATCCATTTCTTTTATGACCGTGGAGCTTCTGGGGTGCTTATCACTTGTTTGAGAAAAACATTGGACTTTGTGCTAAGCCAAGACCTGCCGAGGGGATCCAAAGGGTAGCTGTGCAGGCCAGCTTGCCATGATGGACTCCACTTTCAGATCCAGTCTGGGCTGGATTTAGGATTTTCCGTCTTGATATTTACCGCATAGTTTTGGAAAGAGTGGCATGTTTGCTGTTTAATCCCTTGCATCTTATAGGTTTCTCTCAGAGTTTTCAATCAGTTACGGAGTACTGATCTGCCTAAGCTTGTCTGACGATTGCAGAGTGCTGAAACATCAGTTAAAATGTTTTCAATGGATCTTCCTAAAATCGCAAACCAAGATTATCAAGGCATTGAAAAAACAACCTTAAAATTAGTCCATTAAGGTCTAAGGGTCTTTTCCAATCCCCCTTTTATACCAATAAAGTATTTTGTTCTTTGTTTCAGTGGTATCCCAGAGACTGTCCCAATATCGAGTGTTAACAGGCAGTGTTCATCTGGATTGCAAGCTCTGATTAATATTGCTGGTAAGAAGGCTGGGTCCTGTGTAAGGGTCAGATTGTATGCGTGGAATAAATGTGGGATTTAACTGAAGCACAGGGCTTTTCAAACTCCTGATACTATGACATGTAGAGATTTAAATTCCTAAAATATAACATTGCAGATTTGCCTGTTAATACTTTCTATAGAGGAAGTTGCAATCCTGGGACAGTAAGTTCGAGTTCTTGGAATATAATTTTTTTCTAGGACAGTGGTGTCAAACTGCCTGCCCATGGGCCGGATGCATCATGCTGAAACCACACCCACCCCAGCTCCGGCAATGGGAAAAATGCGATACGTGACGACACATCACATGACGCAGCGAGTTTGACACCCTTGTTCTAGGAGAAGGTTAATATATTCTTTTTTTATATTCCCTTCTGGAAAAAAACACCCATCTAAATGAGGGAATACGCTGATCCCCCTTACTCCAACAGCACTTACAAGAAGGATATATCTGGAGTTCACTGGCTGATTTAAAATTTGTATACTTTATTTACAGGTGGTATTAGAAATGGCTCCTATGATATTGGTTTGGCTTGTGGGTAAGCTTGTTTTTTTTCATAATTGTTCACTTATTAATAGCCCTTTTTTCTGTTGATTACCTTGTGTGGTATTTTTAAGCAGGTTGTGAAACTCTGTAATTTGAGGCAGTTAGTTTAGAAGAGGATTTCTGGAGACTAGCGTTTTGCAGGGGTGAGAGAGCAATATTGTATTTTGCTGCCCAATACCAGCCTCAAGGAAATACTCTTTCCTAGTGAGTCTTGGAAATAATTTTAATTTAATTTGTTTAATAATAATAATAATAATAATAATAATAATAATAATAATAATAATAATAATAATAATAATAATAAGGTTGGAAGGGACCTTGGAGGTCATCTAGTCCACCCCCCTGCTCAGGCAGGTAACCCTATACCATTTCAGACAAATGGCTGTCCAGTCTCTTCTTAAAAACTTCCAGTGTTGGAGCATTCACCACTTCTGGAGGCAAGTTGTTCCACTGGTTAATTGTTCTAACTGTCAGGAAGTTTCTCCTTAGTTCTAGATTGCTTCTCTCCTTGATTAGTTTCCACCCGTTGCTCCTTGTCCTGCCTTCAGGTGCTTTGGAGAATAGCTTGACTCCCTCTTCTTTGGGGCAGCCCTTAAGGTATTGGAACACTGCTATCATGTCCCCCCTCGTCCTTCTCTTCGTTAAACTAGACATACCCAATTCCAGCAACCGTTCCTTACATGTTTTAGCCTCCAGTCCCCTGATCATCTTTGTTGCTCTTCTCTGTACTCTTTCTAGAGTCTCAACATCTTTTTTACATCGTGGTGACCAAAACTGGATGCACTATTCCAAGTGTGGCCTTACCAAGGCCTTGTAAAGTGGTATTAACACTTCACGTGCTCTTGATTCTATTCCTCTGTTAATGCAGCCTAGCACTGGGTTGGCCTTTTTGGCAGCTGGGTTGTTCATCCCGTTTGTTTTGTTTAACAGCCTTGCGGATTTTTTAAAAGCAACTGAGTGGTAAAGCTAAGATTTGAATCACCTTAAAGGTATCCATTTTGTGCTGCATGCTTAACTAAAATGAAGAAAGACGCTGCAAAATAGAAACTCTTTGTGTTTATCAAGACCATTTTTAAAATTAAGTCCCCTGCTTTTCCTGGCACACAGCTGTTAACAGATTAATGGCGATTGATACTTTGGCATCAGGTCACCGATGAAGTCCCCTTTCTGTTTTCACATGCACGTTTCAAACACACGCCAGCTTAAACCCCTTGGCTGTGCCAAAGGTAATTGGACTTTCTTTGTTTTTCCTTGAAGATGTTTCACTTCTCATCCAAGGAACTTCGGTACTGAACCGAAGAAGCTTTCTTGGCTGAGAGCTGAAATGTCTTCAAGGAATAAAACAAAGAAAGTCCAAGTTTCCTTTTGAAAAAGCATCTTTGGGACAACCTTGATGGAGGACCTCCATAGACCTTCCTCGTCTGTGCAGCTGAGAGAGTGACCAGTTTTCTCTCCATTGAAGTTGGGTAAAAAACTTCTCAGACAAAAAAGATTTTATCCTCTGTTGCGAACTAGCTCTTTGCCTTTCTTGGCAAGAGGGTAGGGCCAGAGAAAACAGCTTCTAACAAACTAGCATCATGCCTTGATGTTGAGCCTCCACTGGGAATATTTGGCCCTTAAGCCAGAAATTATCCAAGTGCATCCTCTTGAAGTCCTTCCTGCTTCTGTCGTGCAAATAAATTCCTGTAAGTCAGGGGTCTGCAACCTTGACAACTTTAAGACTGGTGAACTTCAGCTCCCAGAATTTCTCAGCCAGCATAGTTGGCTGAGGAATTCTGGGAGCTGAAATCCACCAGTCTTAAAGTTGTCAAGGTTGCAGACCCCTGCTGTAGATGTCAAGTTTAAGGGTTGTCCCACAGGGGCTGTTGCTGAACATAAGAGTGCAGTGTGAAGCTTGGTATTTGATTTGATTCAAAATCTTCAGCCACTGCCTTGGCAAGTTAGCAAACCAGCCCCAGTGCCACGGCTGTAAAACTGAACTTAAAAGGAACAGGTGTCCCAGTATTAGTAAGACAGAATCCCAAGTGTTTGCAAAAAATACTATAAATGCTCTTCATTCGTTTTGCAATGATCTCTTGAAGTGCACCATTTTGCGTAGGTGTAAAAGCAAGCAGTTTAAGTAATCCACTTGGAAACTAGGTTGGGTTAATCCAATGGCGGTGTTGTTTGGTGTTGCCTCCTGATCTTGCCAAACGAAACAATTGCCTCACTGGACTTGTGAAAATAAGCTATAGGCCTCCTTTAATATTTGCATGCTGTTTCAGAACACATCCACGCTGTAGCTAAAGAAATACCGCAATATGCCTACACATGTTGCTTTACGCCTTTCGTAAGCCTGGTTTTAATTGTGCAATTGCCTCTTGCCACTGCAAAGCTTGGTTGGTAAATTAACTCCTGGAATAATCTAAGATCAAAGTTGAATACTCTGAAGGCTGAACTGAGCTTCCTGATCTTGTGCAATGCTAAGTTTGCATTGCCACATTGCTGAAACTGTACGATATCTGATGTGGAGAAACATTGGCTTCAAAAAAAAACACAAAATATTTAATTTTCTCTTGCCCACAAATTTGTGCTAGCTCTTCCTAACTGCTGCTAAAAAGACTTCATCATAGACCAGAATCTTATGTACCAACTTGTGGCTGAAATGTTCTCTTTTCAAGATAGTTTGTTCCACATGTATCAAAAATGGTCCAACCTCAAAAAAAACAGTCAGTTCCTCCAGTGGAGCTCAGCTGGTGACATCCTGCTTCTTTAGATGCCTAAATATTTAAAACTCAACGTTACTCAGGATACGCAGACTTTGAAGATAACAAATCCCCAATTGTTTTGTTCTCTCACATGTCCCTGGAACCATTCTGAACCAGTTTGTATGAACTTGTGGCTTTGGCGGCTGCCTCACTAGGAGAACTTAGTAAGGAACATTTTGAGAAGAATGTTCCTTTTTGGCCGTTAATTCATAGGGTTTCCATTCATCTCTAATGGCTGAGACCTTGGATCAGTGGTTCAGTGAAAACTGAGTAACAAGAGCATTTGCTTTTTTAATAACAAACATGTTAATTTGGGATAAGAGGGGACATTTCGAAAACTCTCACAAATAGATCTCTTACCCTAAGTGTTACAGGGCAGAACTTTTTTTTTTTTTATTCCAAAACATCGCTGCCCTAATTATTATTGACTTTGAATGCTGTACTCCTATAATTGCATGAAAATATCTGGTCCGATCGAGTAGAAAGGCAATGGTGGAATCCGCAGGTTTCTTGAAATAGTGCTGGCAAATAGTGTGCTTGCCAGGGAACAAGTCCAAATGGACTTTCCTCTGAGTACAAACTTAAAGGTTTAATTAAATATTTTCCAGCCATCCGTGGTTCACGCTGATATTGCATTTCTGTTGTAGAGTAACTTAACTTCATATATTTAGTTCTATCAAAATGCTTGCTTATCCTTTTGGCTTTTAAGTAACCCCCATGCACGACTTGTATACAAAGAGTCCTCGACCACAATAGAACCCAAAAATTCTGTTGCTAAGCGAGACGGTTGTTAAGTGAGCTTTGCCCAATTTTATGACCTTTCTTGCTTTTAAGTGAATCGCTGCAGTTGCCAAGATAGGAACACGGTTGTTAAGTGAATCTGGCTTCCCTTGTTAGAAGGTTGCAAAGGAGGATCACATGACCCCCCCCCCAGGACACTGTGACCGTCATAACTATGAGGCAGTTGCCAAGCATCCGAACTTTGATCACGTGACTGTGGGGAGGCTGCAACGGTCGTAAATGTTAAAAACGGCCATAAGCTACTTTTTTTTAGTGCTATTGTAGCTTCGAATGGTCATTAAACGAATGGTTGTAATTTGAGGGCTACTTTGAAATGGGAGATATTCACAGCCCCCTTTTCTTGTTCCTCCAGAGTGGAAAGCATGTCCCTCCGCAGCGCTACCAACCCTGGAGATCTCACTTCTCGCATCATGGACTTCAGCAAAGCTAGGGACTGCCTGATACCAATGGGGTAAGAGGCTGCCCTTTTAGTTTCCTTGTTCCTGACAGTAAAAACCTGGTTCTCTCTGGGGCCCCACGTTATCCCGGGACACGATGTCGCTGTTTTTGTGCTACACAAGTGCAATCAAATGTTGATTCAGCAACGCCACCAAATCTAGCCACTGCCAGATGAAGCGCATGGTAACCAGTTACTCCTTGATAAGATTCTGGGAAAGTGAGTAGTGGCTGGGTGGACGCAATACCTCTCGGTTCATTAGTGTTGGAATATCATTCCGTGGCATACCCAGTGTGGTTATAAAACAGTGGTGGCAAACCTATGTCACGGGTGCCAGAGGCGGCACTCGGAGCCCTCTCTGTGGGCACACGTGCTGTTGCTTCAGCCTTGCCTCCCCCCCGCGACCCCCTCCTCTCCAGCAGCCCCCCTGAAGGAAACTCGCCCTTGAGTGTGGCCCACACAAAGCAGCACAGCCAAGGACATGGCAGCCAGGCAGCGTAGACAAGACTCTGCCCTCACGCCCCATCGTGCAGTTAATGCTGCAGGGTGCAGGCAGAGGGTGTGGCTGCCATAGCGCTGCTGGGCTGCCTGGGCGATCTGCAGCGGGCCCTGGAGGCGGTGAGTGGTCCTGTGGGCAGGCAGGGTGGGGGATGGGGGGCAGGGCGGGGGCGGGGCAGGGGACTGGAGAGGGGGGGCAGTTTTTGGGCACTCGGTCTCTAAGAGGTTCGCCATCACTCTTATAAAACATCCTGCATTATAAAAGCAAAAGTTCCAGTCATTGTGAAGTGAAACAAATGCACGCAATTTTGCATATATTTTTTGAGGGGGGAAAAAGGATAACATGCTTTGATAATTAGAAGAGGAGTTAGTGTCTCTTTACTCCAGGCCTCCACTTTCACCATTTTACTTAGCTACTGAAAAGTTACTTTTTGGAAGATGTGACGATTGCAGTCATCGAATTAAATTATGGCAACTGGGAGTTATAGAACGTTCAGGAGGCACACTGTTCCATTGCTCTTTTTTCTCTCTCTCTCTTAATAAAGAGATAAGATGATTTAGAACCAATGAAATGATCCGCATGCTTTTAATATTGCTTTTCATAAACAAATTTTATTGATTTTTTTTTATCCCCCCAAAATAAACAAACATACAATTATGGCATAAGTCAATAATACAATTAATAAAAAAAAACAAACTAAAAAAACCTTCTAAGATGCTCAGTAGCCTCACAGGAACACATTCCCTCTCTTATTGCTTTTCAGAATAACTTCTGAGAATGTGGCAGAAAGATTTGGTATCTCCCGAGGAAAACAAGATGCTTTTGCCTTGGCTTCTCAACAAAAGTAAGCGGGAGGGGCTGGCTTTTTGCTGTTTTTGTGCACTTCCCCCCACATTTATGTTGCTTGTGGTTCTCATTTTTCAAGTTTCATCTTTATCTTTACTTTAAGGATTTTCTGTGTTAAAATATGAATCCTTCTGCAATATTTCTTTGCTTTATCACATGTCCATCATAAATGCTAAAAGGTCCTTTTTTTACATTCATTTGAAATACTTTTGTACATTCTAGATAGCTTATCTGGTGTTAAATACCAATGATGCATCATCTTACGAAAGAGTCAAGGTCCAGGGAAATTGCAATCACTGGACCGCAGGCCAGCAAGTCTAGGAAGGGGAGGTTTTTGTTCTCCTAGATCAGGGGTTTCCAAACTTGGCAGCTTTAAGACTTGTGGACTTCAACTCCCAGAATTCCTTAGCCAGCCATGCTAGCTGAGGAATTTTGGGAGTTGAAGTCCACAAGACTTAAAGTTGCCAAGTTTGAAGACCCCTGTCCTAGATTACTCACCTGTTTTTCAGCTTTTAAGTCCCTGTCAAGCTTTATCAAACACAAACTAATGTGATTTTTTTTAAAAGTTAGCATTGTATCATTACTAACTTGAGAATATGGTATCATTTGTAATTACATAAACAGGGAATTTGTTGCCTTCACACGAACTATTATAGCTGTAAGAACCCTCTTCATTGGTATTATAAGATACAGGTAATCCTCGACTTACGACAGTCATGGAGCATGTCCATTACAGCAGGGCTTTTCAATTGGTGGTACGCATACCACTTGTACTTTGCCACATGGCAGGTGGTACGCGACTGCTAGCCAAGGGTAGCAGGGGAGGGGAATGAGCCGAAGGGACCCAAGCCTGAGGGAGAGCCAGCTGCAGGACTGTCTGGGCTTGGCAGAAGCCCCAGGAGCTCCGGCTGATTGGCGCTTCCGGAAGCAGTTCGGACCTGGAGGTGAACTGAAGAAAAGGGGGGCGGAGGAGAGGAGAGGCTATAAAAGAATGTGGTTTGGGCAGGAAAGGGGAAAAAAGACAACAGGGAAAGGTTTAATCCCTTTAAACAAATGTAATTAGTTTTACCTCCCCTGTAACTGAGTCTGTCTGTGGCTTTTAGAAAGTTTTCTTTGAAGGTAAACTGGCTCAATTTAAAGCTACAGCTTTTCGCAATTGCCGGAGCCTTTCAGTGTGGGATTGCAACATTGTGACATGCCTGAGGTAGCTTAAAGAGAAAAAAAACAACGGAGTTTGTGTTTCTTTATTTTCTTGCTTTGCACTTGATTCCTGTGTCTTTAAGGGTACAGGGAAGGAATTGGGGGGGGGGTGCATTCTTACTACACTGTGGAAGAGCTCAGAAGGGCCAACCAGCTAGCTCAGGAGTCTACAAACTTAGCAACTTTAAGACCTGTGGACTTCAACTCCCAGAATTCCTCAACCAGCCATGAGTTGCCAAGCACCCGTTGTGCAAGTCATGTGACTGGAGGGCACCAGAACTTTGGAACTGAATCATAAGTAGCCCTGGGGAGGTCCGTCGTAACTTTGAATGTTTGTTAAGGACCCTGTCATAAGTTGAGGACTACTTGTATTGTGCAAGATAAATGATCAAGGTGCTGCTTAAGAGCCATTTTTTCAGAACAGTTTCGATTATTTCCAGGAATAATAACTTACTTAGTTTTTTTTTTCCCTCTTGAGTTTTCAAACATATACTTACTATAAAGGTAATTATTTGGGTGTGGTGTGTTTCCAGAGCAGCTCGAGCTCAGAAGTTGGGGTGGTTTAAAAATGAGATTGTCCCTGTGACGACCACCATCACAGATGACCAGGGCACTGAGAAAACGATCACTGTGCTGCAGGATGAAGGAATCAGGGCCAGTACCTCCCTGGAGGGATTGGCCAGGCTGAAGCCGGCCTTCCAGGAGAATGGCACCACCACAGCTGGTAAGGCTCCGAAGGAAGAGGTGAAGTGGAGGGGATTGACTTGGTGCCATAGAGTCAGTTCGGTTAAGACACCAGGTTAGAAACCAGGAGATGGAGAGTTCTAGTGCCACCTTAGACATGAAAGCCAGCCGGGTGACTTTAGCCCAGTCACTAGGAGATGGTGAGTGCTAGTGCCACCTTAGGCATAAAAGCCAGCTGGGTGACTTTGGCCCAATGACTGGGAGACAGTGAATTCTAGTCCTGCCTTAGGCATAAAAGCCGGCTGGGTGACTTTGGCCCAGTGACTGGGAGACAGTGAATTCTAGTCCTGCCTTAGGCATAAAAGCCGGCTGGGTGACTTTGGCCCAGTGACTGGGAGACAGTGAATTCTAGTCCTGCCTTAGGCATAAAAGCCAGCTGGGTGACTTTGGCCCAGTGACTGGGAGACAGTGAATTCTAGTCCTGCCTTAGGCATAAAAGCTGGCTGGGTGACTTTGGACCAGTCCCTCTTAAAGATAAAAATAAATTTTAAAAAAGAGTCAGAAAAGTATGTATCAGCTTTTGCTAATAGGAATAAGAAATGGAGATTAGAAGATCTGGGTTCATGTTCCTGTTTAGCAACAGAGCTCACATGGTGACTTCAGGCCATGTCTTGGCATCTCTCAGCCCAGATTATCTCACAGAATGAGATGGTTGTGAGAATAGATAGAAGAATGGAATAGGAATAGGAACAGAATAAAAACTTTATTGTCGCTTTAAATGTACACTAACTAGCATACATTGAAATGAAATTTTGTTGCATTCAGCTCTCAAAAAATACCATTGTGCATATACCCACATACATACATAGGACACAAAGAAACATCACAGTCTAGTTCAAAGTATACATGGCAAAAAAAGAATCCTGCGAATTTACAAGACGGATGGCCTAAGGAGCAAAGCTGTTACAGACTCTATTAGTCCTGCTATAGATACTTTGAGACCTCCTCCCAGAGGGGAGCAACAGAAACAGCAGCCAGGAGAAGTGGGCGTGAAGGGTCTCTAACAATGCTCCGAGCTCTAAGCAGATATGAGCGCTTGTAAGCCGTATCCTGAATAACGGGGAAGTGAGCTTCCTATGACCTTCTCGGCTGTCCTCACCACTCTCCGTATGGACCTTCTTTCCATCTGAGGCTCTGCTGCCACCAAACCAGACAGTGGTGCAGTTTGTTAAGACTCTCTCAATCGCGACTCTGTTAAAAAGTGGCCAGGACAGAAAGAGAGAGAGACGTGCTCTCCTCATCCGACGCAGGAAATGCAGACGCTGGTTTGCACGCTTCACTAAGAAGGAGGTGTGGGGAGACCAATTCAGATAGTTAGTTATCTGCACCCCCAGGTAGTTACTACTGCTGGCCACCTCCACGGCTGCAACCTTGATACCGAGTGGAGTCTGACTAGGCCGTCTCTTTCTAAAATCAAAAGTGATCTCCTTTGTTTTATTAACATTCAAAACCAAGTTAGTTTTATTACACTAGTCCACCAAAGCCTTCCAGATTACACAATTTGTAAAGTGTTTTTAGATTGTATTAGCTTTAAAAAAATATTATTATTTTGGCAATCCTCTTTACACATGAGAGTGATTTTCATTGTAGAAATCTTTTCTATCCATTGGTCCTAGAAGAAGAAGATGATGATAATGTAATTAACTCAGTTGAGCTATCCCAGGGGTAGGCAAACTTGGCTCTTTTATGACTTGTGGACTTCAACTCCCAGAATTCCTCAGCCAGCCACGCTGAGGGGAAAGGGAGAGGTTTCCAAGCTGAGCCATGCTGGCTCAGGAATTCTGGGAGCTGAAGTCCACCAGTCATAAAAGAGGCAAAGTTGCCTACCCCTGAGCTATCCTATCAGGTTTGCCTGCATCTCATAATTCAGTCTTTATGAAATGATTCCCCTCAGGTAACTCCAGCCAAGTTAGCGATGGGGCCGCTGCGGTGATCCTGGCCAGACGTTCCGCAGCCGCACAGCTGGGGCTTCCTGTCTTTGGGGTGCTGAAATCATACGCTGTGGTTGGAGTCCCACCAGACGTCATGGGCATAGGGCCAGCCTATGCCATCCCAGTGGCACTGAAGAAAGCTGGTGAGGAACATAATCCTGGCTGAGGAGGGACGGGCAGAAGTCCACGCGGCTAATCAAGCTCCCTTGGATGGAATGACTCCTGGCAAAAACTGGGCAGGGGATATGTTTTCCTCAATCCGCGTTGGCTTCCAGGGCATGGGGGGGGAGGTCTTCTTAGAATGATTTTAGGACTGCCTTTTGGTGTCTTTGGAGCAGCGGGGTGAAAGAAGGGCACTGGTCTCCCTGAAAAATATTGTCTTTTTACGCTGTTGAATTTGTGCCCTTCTCTAACCTGCAGGTTTGACAGTGGATGATATTGATGTGTTTGAAATCAACGAGGCCTTTGCGAGTCAGGTAAGCGTTTTGAAGAGGGGGTTAGAGTGAAGAGGCCATGAGGGAAATACGCCCCCCCTGTGAGGAAGGTTAGCGGGAGATTTCAGCGGCCCTGGAGCCCTTTGCCCTCCGGTTCAGCCAGGACAGGCAGGCAGCCATTTGGCAAGGAGGCTCTTAAGGCTATTTGACTGGCTCCGTAAATGCCACATTTCACCAAGGCAACTTTGGTCTGACCCTGCCCACGTTTGGTGAGGGTGGCCTCTGAAGTCTCCAAACCCAGTACAGATTTACAACAGGCACTGAAAAAAGTGACTTAAGGCCATTTTTCACATTTAACGACGGTTGCAGCATTGCCCTGGTCACATAGTTTACTTTCGGACGCTTGACAACTGGCTCACACTTGTGACTATTGCAGAGTTCCTGGGGTCACGTGATCCCCTTTTGCGACTTTCTGATAAGTAAAGTCAATGGGAGAAGCCAGATTCGCTTAACAGTTGGGTTACTAACTTAACAACTGCAGTGGTTCATTCACTTAACATGTGGCAAGAAAAGTCATAAAATGAGGCAAAACTTGCTTAACAAATGTCTCGCTTAGCAACATAAATTTTGGGCTCAATTGGGGTCGTAAGTCAAGGATTATCTGTATATGACCCTACTTCTACCCAAAATAATTGTGTTACAGATAATCTTTGATTTATATAAATCCCGTGACCATGCGGATGCTGCAACAATCATAAGTGTGAAAAATGGTCATAAGTCCCTTTTTTCAGTACCGTAACTTCAAATGGTCACCAAATGAACTGTTGTAACTTGAGGATTACCTGTATACTGATGCATGCATAGAGATAGAGTTGTTATAAAATGTGATATCTCAAAATAAAAATAGGAAGAAGTTAAGGAAGAGATCACTTATTCCAGCTATTTGTCCCAGCTGAAATCTTAGTATCATGATTTATCACTTGTTTGTGATAAACAAGTGCATCAGAGACAAATTCCTTGTGTGTCCAATCACATGGCCAATAAAGAATATCCTATTCTATTCTACTCTACTCAACACTCTATTCTACTCTACTCTACTCATTCTATTCTATTCTACTCTCTACTCTACTCTATTGTATTCTACACTCTATTCCACTCTATTCTCTTCTCTATTCTACTCTTCTCTATTCTACTCTCTTCTCTATTCTACTCTATTGTATTCTATACTCTATTCTACTCTAATCTAATCTATTCTACTCTCTTCTCTATTCTACTCTATTCTATTTCTTATTATGTTCTGTTCTATATTCTGTTCTAATTCTAATTCTAGTGAAATTGGTTCCTCAAAAAGCTTTCGGTTGTCTTGTTTCTCCAGGCTGTCTACTGTGTGGAGAAACTTGGCATCCCCATGGAGAAGGTGAACCCTCTGGGTGGTGCCATTGCTTTGGGACACCCTCTGGGATGCACCGGGGCTCGGCAAGTTATCACTTTGCTCAACGAGCTTAAGCGCAGAGGGAAAAGGTAGGTGTGAAAGGCACGCACTGCGCAATCGAGTCTATGGCTTATGCTTGTGGCTTTTAAAGGGCGCTACCAAGAGATTCCTCAACCTGCCCAGGAGGTCTGGCGTGTAAAACCTGATCTCCTGCAGGTTCTAACTTGCACAAATGAAAGTGAGGAGGTGCCCTGTGGTATCTCTGCTTTAAATTTTATTGCTCTCAAGACCAAGATACTGCTTATTTTATTTATATCCCACCTTTATTATATTTATAAATAACTTGAGGTGGTGAAAACACACAATATTCTTTTCTCCTCCTGTTTTCTCCACAACAACTACCTTGTGGGTTGGGCTGAAAGACACTGACTGGCCCACCGCAACCCAATCAGCTTTCCTGCCTAAGGTGGGACTAGAACTCACTGACTCCCAATGATTGGCCCAAAGTCACCCAGTTGGCTTTCAAGCCTAGGTTTGGGACTAGAACTCCCCATTTCCTAGTTTCTAGGCTTGCACCTTCACAACCGTCTCTCTTTTTAGCCAGTGATTCTGTCATAAGGTCTTCCCCTCCCCCCCCCCAAATCGCTCTCTGTGTGTTCCCATCTTCCTGATCCCCAAGACCTTCTGCCTAGGGAGCTTAGCCCTGACGTGCATTCTTGTTTTCAGAGGCTATGGCGTGGTGTCCATGTGCATTGGGACCGGGATGGGAGCAGCTGCAGTATTTGAATATCCAGGGAAGTGAGCAGAACTTCAGCCTGTTTGTGCAGCCTGCCCTCAGGACCTGGAAAATGACCAGCGATCCGTCCTGATGTGCCGTCCGGCTTCATGAACGTTAGATGCGAACCGTCCTCGCAGGACAAGAGCTTTATGAAATCCAGCGCCGCGGGAATGAATTTGGGAATGGGGTGTAGCAAGGACCTAGGCGGCTGCTAGGTCCTTTTGTATGAATTAATCGCTAGGGGGGGGTAAAAGGATCTACCTGCCGAATGGTGGTGGGTTGGGGGGCAGGCGGAGGGAAGTAGGGGTACCTGAGGAACTTGACGGATCAGCGGTCTGAAATAGATTGCTTTATCTGCAGTGCTGGGATTAATGTGCAATTGGAGCAAGTTCCCCCACCTTCCCCTCCAGAATCCTTACTCCAATGAGTAAATTCCTTAAAGTAGCTAAGGTATTGCTTTTTTGGGGGGGGGAGGGAATAATGATTACTAGAACCAGCTAGAAAATGGGGTGCCAGCACATTTGGGAACAATAAAAATAATAGCACAGCATTTATTGCTGGCGGGCTCCATTTTCAAAGCTGTTCATAAGCAGTTATTACTTTGATTACTTTCTTTTTTTCCTCCTTAAGGTAACTTTATCCCACGTTATTTTTGAAAATGAACTGGGACCAGGTATGTTTCTTTAAAGAAAATATTGAACAGGAAGAAAACTGACCTTTACACCCTTAAAAGGAAAAGCAGCAGAACAAACCAGGCTAAAGAATCACACAGTTCAGCTGCTGGTCCTAGCAAGAAATAGCTCATACTTGCTTTGCTGGTGTTCTAAGGAGCTAAATCAATTCTTAAAAGATGTCTCAATCTACTAATTAAATTTCTGTTAATGGATTAAATTACATTAATAAAGCCTCTGAATGGGTCTGAGTTATTTAATTACTAGAAAGCCAATTTTTCTAACAGAACGGTGTATCAAGTTAGATTTTTAAAGGTAATCCTCGACTTAACGGCCAAAGCTAATTGAGTTTGCCCCATTTTACAGCCTTTCACACCAGTTAAGTGAATCACCGTAGTTGTTAGAGGTTAGTAACATGGTTAAGTGAATCTGGCTTCCCTGGAATCTTGTCATAAGGTCGCAAAAGGACTTCACGTGACCCTGAGGATGGTGCGACGGTGGTTAAGTGTGAAAAATGATCACGAGTCACTTTTTTTCAGTGCTGGTGTAATTTTGAACAGTCATTAAATGAACTGTTGAAAGTCGAGGATTATCTGTATTTTATATTCTGGTTCGTTCTTGCTGCATCTGTGTGAAAGCAACCAAATCATGCAAGAACATCTTGTGTAGTTCATGATCTAACATTCTTTTCCTGTGAAAAACTACATTACTGTTTTGACTGATATGTGCACTTAGGAACATGGGTTTGTCAAAAACAGATCATGCCAAACAAATCTTATTGCATTCTTTGACCAAGTGACAAAGTTAGTGGACCAGAGGAATGCTGTGGATATAATTTACTTGGACTTCAGTAAGGCATTTGACAAAGTAGACCACAACCTACTACTTGAGAAGATAGAAAAATGTGGGTTAGACAGCATCACCACCAGATGGATTCGTAGCTGGCTGACCGGCCGTACTCAGCGTGTGGTCCTCAATGGAACCGCATCTACATGGAGGGAAGTGTGTAGTGGGGTGCCCCAGGGCTCTGTTCTGGGCCCAGTGCTCTTCAACATCTTCATCAATGACTTACTGGAATTGGTCTGTCTAGTTTAATGAAGAGAAGGACGAGGGGTGACATGATAGCAGTCTTCCAGTATCTCACGCGCTGCCACAAAGAAGAGGGAGTCAAGCTATTCTCCAAAGCGTCTGAAGGCAGGACAAGAAGCAACGGGTGGAAACTAACTAAGGAGAAAGTTCTTGACAATAATTAACCAGTGGAACAACCTGCCTCCAGAAGTTGTGGGTGCTCCAACATTGGAAGTTTTTAAGAAGAGATTGGGCATTTGTTTGAAATGGTATAGGTTTCCTGCTTTGAGCAGGGGGTTGGTCTATTAGAAGATCTCCAAGATCCCTTCTAACTGTTGTTCTGTATCTACATAAAAGGCTCTCAAAAAAGCTGAAGTTTACTCCAGAACATAAACTAAGCTATTAATCAGTTTTAGCTTGGTGTATTGTATGAGATTCATCCGTAAGCCTGGTTGATTGCTGAATTTGTTAGGCCAGTGGTGGCGAACCTATGGCATGCATGCCAGAGGCGGCACTCAGAGCCCTCCCTGTGAGCATGCGCACCAATGCCTTGGAGATGGCAACCGTCCCTCTTCAACCAGCCACCCGCTAACTTGCCGAGGTCCCACGTGGCCAGATGCGTCCCAGCATGGCTGGTTTCCCTCCCCCCCCGTCTCATCCCTCCTGGCCTTGCATGCTCTCCTTTTCCTGGGCACGACCCCCTGTATCGCCTCCTCAGTTGTTGGCCGGCTGTCCAACTCAGAGGCGGCTTCTCTGAACTGCTGGTGGTGGGCTGCGGAGCCCCAGAATGTGCAGGTTAAGGGGCCGGCAGTCTGTGGCTGGTGACAGACACTGTCGGTCCTCATGCACTTGCTGGCCTCTGTGTGCGGGGGCCAATGGTGTCAGGCAGCAGCCACCCCGGCCCCTGCCTCTCCTTGCACCACGACAATGGCACCCTCGCCCTGCCTCACCTCACCCCATAGGACGAGCTTCCTGCCCACAGCCCCACCTGACAGAGACCCCCTGGATTTCCCCTAACCCTGCCCGGTCCCCATAGGTGTTCCTCCCTACAAGCAACATCGAGGTGACCACGCCCACCTTGACCACAGCCATGCCCCCCTGGCACCTGGTGATAAATAAGTGGGTTTTGGGTTGCAGTTTGGGCACTCGGGCTCTAAAAGGTTCGCCATCACTGTGCTAGGCCAAAGCAGGATTTGTGATTTACTCAGTACAGGTAGTCCTTGACTTAAAGACTGATCACATAGCAACATGTGGTTACACAACTGCATTTTAAATTGCATTCGTGGTTTTCAGCAAAACTATGCTGTAGAAAGCAGTGGTTTCGCTTAACATCCAGCACAAATATATATATATATATATATAATTGGGTTGGTCATATGACCGAGCAATTTAATGACTGTTATGACTTACAACTGCTGTGGGCAGGCCACCCACCACAGTTAAAGAATCAATACAACAGCATGTTGTATGAATGTAGTTATTGTATGTTTCGAATATGTCAAAGGCCACCAGGATATGGACTCACTGCTGCCAGTTTGCTATCACCACCAGGGGACAACTTGCCACAGCCAATTCGCCACAGGAGAACGCGCTGCGGGACAATTCAACAATTTTATTCCTTAAAAAATTATTTTTAAAAATTATTTTAATTTTGTCATTCACATTTCATTTTGTCCCTCCTTTCAGATCAGGGGTGTCAAACTGCTGGCCCGCAAGCCGGATGCATCATGCCGAAACCACGCCCACAGGGAAAATCGCAATACGTCATGACACGTCACATGGCGAGTTTGACACCCCTATTTTAGATCCTTTCTTTAACGATCCTGTTTCACCATTTCTTCGATATTATGTAACTTTTCCCCTGTGGCGAATTGGCTGCGGTGAGTTGGCTGTGTCCAGTTGTCCTAGACCAGTGGTGGCGAACCTATGGCACGCAGGCCAGAGGCGGCACTCAGAGCCCTCTCTGTGGGCATGCACACCATCGCCCCAGCCCCACCTCCCCCCACAGCCCTCTCCTCACCAGCAGCCCCCCTCCCCGGAGATTTGCTCCCAAGCGCGGCCCGCACGGAGCAGTGCAGCCAAGGACGTGGCAGCCAGGCAGCAGGGACAAGACTCCATCCTTCCGCCCCGTCACGTGCAGATGATGCTGCGGGGCGCAGGTGGAGGGCGTGGCTGCCGTGGTGCTACTGGGCCGGCTGGGTGATCTGTGGCGGGCTGTGGAGGCGAGTGGCCCTGCGGAGGGGCAATTTTGGGGCACTCCGTCTCTAAAAGGTTCGCCATCACTGCCCTAGAGCAGGGCTAGGCCACCTCGGCTCTTTTATGACTGGTGGACTTCAACTCCCAGAATTCCTGAGCCAGCCTGGCTCAGCTTGGAAACCTCTCCCTTTCCCCTCAGCATGGCTGGCTCAGGAATTCTGGGAGTTGAAGTCCACGAGTCATAAAAGAGCCAAGGTGGCCTACCCCTGCGCCTAGACCTTCCAGGATAGCCGGGTTATCACTAGGGCCACCTTGTGGCAAAGATTGCCTGGTGAAAATGCAGTTCAGTTTTGACCACACACCTGCAGAAGCAAGACCCCTGCTTGAGAAGGATATAGAAATATTTTATTTGTCTCTAGTGTTATAAAAAAAAAAAAAAACCCCAAAAACAACCAGCTACCTTTAAGCTGCCTGCAAGAAGCCCCCCGTGGCTTGTTCTTCAGGTGCTCCTGAGCAGGTCTTCATACTTCTCATCGTAGGAGCCCTTTCCGTGGACAAGCAGCAGGCACGGCTTCTCCCCCAGCATGCCAACAACGGTCACTGTGGTTTCATAGGCCACGTTGTCTCTGGAACGAGAGAATGGCAAGAAGTGAGTCCTCCCTTTGACAAGAACACCACGAAAGGGGCCTACGACAACTCAACTCGCCGCCCCGGGACAAGAGTTGCACTAATATTGAAGGAGTAGTCCAACAGAACCAATGAAGGATGCCAAAGGAGGGACAAAATAAAGCACGAATGACAGAAACTAAAATAATTTTGAGTAATTGAATTGTTGAATTGTCCTGCAGCGAGTTGTCCAGCGGTGACTTGGCTGCGGAGAATAGACCGTGGTGAGTTGTCCCGTTCCGGTTCAACTCGCCTGCTGCTCCTTCATCCACTCTTCTCAGTTCAAAGCAAGCTGAGGGCTTGCCTATCCAGGTAGTCCTCGACTTACGACTGAGCCCAGCATTTCTGCTGTTAAGTGAGACATTTGCTAAGTATGTTTTGCCCCATTTCATAGTCTTTCTTAATAATAGTAGTAGTAGTAAAGTTGGAAGGGACCTTGAGGTCATCTAGTCCAACCCCCTGCTCAGGCAGGAAACCCTATACCATTTCAGACAAATGGCTGCCCAGTCTCTTCTTAAAAACTTCCAGTGTTGGAGCGTTCACTGCTTCTGGAGGCAGGTTGTTCCACTGGTTAATTGTTCTAACTGTCAGGAAGTTTCTCCTTAGTTCCAGATTGCTTCTCTCCTTGATCAGTTTCCATCCGTTGCTTCTCGTCCTGCCTTCAGGCACCTTGGAGAATAGCTTGACTCCCTCTTCTTTGGGGCGGCCCCTGAGATATTGGAACACTGGTACAGTGTTTCTTGCCACAGTGAAGTTAACAACATGGTCGTTAGTGTGAATCTGGCTTCCCTGTTGACTTTGCTTGTCAGAAGGCTACAAAATGGGATTACATGACCCCGGGACTCTGTGACCGTCATAAACAGGAGTCAGTTGCCAAGCGTCCGAATTTTGATCCCGTGACTGTGGGGATACTGCAATAGCTGTGGGGATACTGAAAAAGGGTCATGTGTCATTTTTTTCGGTGCTGTTGTATCTTTGAATGTTAACTGGATGACTGTAAGTCGAGGACTGCCTGTATTCCAGCAGTGAGAAGAATCATGGTTCGTGGTGGCATGCTGCAGAAGAAGACCTGAAGAAAACAGCTGACTTTTTCCTGATCCAAATCTTCTAGAACAGGCCCGGCCAAACTGCCTGGTTTGGGGACGTCAACTCACTCAAGGTCCTAGAATTGAGAGGAACCTCTTGAGACCATCAAGTCTAACTCAGGGCAAGGTCGAAGCGGAAGACTCTCTCAGTGTGGATCATCTGATGAATGAGAGCTTGCCACTATCATCTTCCCTGGCAATTCAGAACAGAGTTGGAAGGGATCTTGGAGTACATTTAAGCAAGAAAAACCAAATGCACAGGTATAGTATAGGGGGTACCTTGCTCAATAGTAGTAACTGTGAGAGGGACCTCGGAGTCCTAGTGGACAATCACTTAAATATGAGCCAGCAGTATGTCAAAAAGGCCAACACAGTGCTAGGCTGCATTAACAGAGGGATAGAATCAAGATCACGTGAAGTGTTAATACCACTTTACAATGCCTTGGAATGCTGCATCCACTTTTGGTCACCACGATGTAAAAAAGATGCTGAGACTCTAGAAAGAGTGCAGAGAAGAGCAACAAAGATGATCAGGGGACTGGAGTCTAAAGCATATAAGGAACGGCTGCTGGAATTGGGCATGTCTAGTTTAATGAAGAGAAGGACGAGGGGGGGACATGATAGCTGTGTTCCAGTATCTCAGGGGCTGCCCCAAAGAAGAGGGAGTCAAGCTATTCTCCAAGGCGCCTGAAGGCAGGACAAGAAGCAACGGATGGAAACTAATCAAGGAGAGAAGCAACCTAGAACTAAGGAGAAACTTCCTGACAGTGAGAACAATTAACCAGTGGAACAACCTGCCTCCAGAAGCGGTGAATGCTCCAACACTGGAAATTTTAAAGAAGAGACTGGACAGCCATTTGTCTGAAATGGTATAGGGTTTCCTGCCTGAGCAGGGGGACTAGATGACCTCCAAGGTCCCTTCCAACTTTATTATTATTATTATTATTATAACCCCCTGGCTCAGATAGGAAACCGTATGCCATTTCAGACATCGGAAGCGGTAGGACTGAAATGCATCATTTCCCGCACCCCCGCTCAAATGTTTTTAAATGGGAATGGGAGCGGTATGGCTTTGGAAGGCAAAAACCATTTTCATTCCCCCCGTGAAAACTCCCCAAGTGACACCGTTTTGAAACTTGGGAACTTTTAAAAGCAGGGCGAGAAGCTTTCCTCCCTTCCGATCTTCCTTTCGGGAGGTGGAAGATCCCATGCTGTGCCAAAGCCCTTTGCCACCAAATTTCCACGGTGCAGGGCAGTCGTATTCCCTAATGGGCGATGAACAAGGATAACTCAGTTATCCTTGAGCAAGATCATGCAAGATCAGGTTTTCGACATCTGCCTTTCGTCTGGGGCTTGGGGACATATGCAGAAGAACCACGAGGGGCTTCCCCTGACCCACCTGGGCGTGAAGCGGACCACCAGTTGGGCTTTGGTAGCGGTGCTACCTTTGCGAGCCTCAAGGATGCCGCTGTTTGGAGAGATGGAAAACACTTCGGGATCCTTATGCCGTTCATCTTCAGCTTTAAAAGGAAATTAAGAAGTGCTGGTTAAAGTTTCAACAGATATTCTTAAAAGGAAGATTATCATCCTGAACTAATCCTTGGCTGCTGCTAAGAATACTTGTTCATTTGATTTTTAGCTTGCCTTTATAGCAGAGGTACTCAACCTTGGCAACTTTAAGACTTGTGGACTTCAGCTCCCAGAATTCTTCAGCCAGCTTTGCTGGCTGAGGAATTCTGGGAGTTGAAGTCCACAAGTCGTAAAGTGGCCAAGGTTGGAGACCCCTGCTCTATAGGTAACGTAAGGCAGCAAACATATCTAACACACCTTTCATCTCAACAACCCTGTGAGTTGGATTGGATTGAGATGCAAGAGAACCCAAGGTTATCCAAACAGCTTTTGTGCCTAAGGCAGGAACTCCCAGTCTCCTGATGATTAATTAGCCCAAAGTCACCCAGCTAGCTTCATGCCTAAGGTAGCTCTAGAATTCACCATCTCCTGGCTTCTAGGCCAGCATCTTCACCAAGCTAGCTCAAATTTCAGTTGAAATTGCTCCCGATTTACTTTTTTTTTTTAAAAGTTCCTTTGAATCAATCTTGACCCCTCAAAACTACATATACAAACCCCTGCAGGTTTTAGCAACAGTTTTGGAAGAAATTTCCTTCTTTCAAGGGCTGAGATTTGGCTCCAACTCTAGTTGAGTTAATGAATAAAGCAGGACTAGAATTCACTTCTGATGTCTAGCCTAAGTTTTTAACTACTACACCAAGCTGGCTCCCACTGAATTTATACTATAGATTTATTCTATCTATATCCTTTACAACTACAATCTCTCTCTCTCTCTCTCATCTATGTCTATCTGTCTATCTAATTTATCATCTATCTATCTTCTATCTCATCTATCATCTAAGGAGAAACTTCCTGACAGTGAGAACAATTAACCAGTGGAACAACCTGCCTCCAGAAGCGGTGAATGCTCCAACACTGGAGGTTTTTAAGAAGAGACTGGACAGCCATCTGTCTGAAATGATATAGGGTTTCCTGCCTGAGCAGGGGGTTGGACTAGATGACCTTCAAGGTCCCTTCCAACTTTACTACTACTACTACTACTACTACTACTACTACTACTACTACTACTACTACTACTACTATTATTATTATTATTATTATTATTATTATTATTATATCTATCATTTATCTATCTAATCTATCTAATCTATTTATCTATATCTTCTATCTATCATCTATCATCTCTATCATGTTTATCTATGTATGTATCTATGTATATATGTATCTATCATCTGTCTCTATCTTTCTATCATCTCTATCATCTATCATCTATCATCTATCAATCTATCTATCTATATCTCTATCTATCATCTATCTATCTATCTATCTATCTATCTATCTATTTTCGTCTGTCTGTATATCTATCTCTATCACATGTCTGTCTGTCTGTCTGTCTGTCTGTCTGTCTGTCTATCTATTTTCGTCTGTCTGTCTATCTATCTCTATCACGTCTGTCTGTCTGTCTGTCTATCTGTCTATCTGTCTGTCTATCTATCTATCTATCTATCTATCTATCTATCTATCTATCTATCTATCTATCTATCTATCTATCTATCTATCTATCTATCAAAATAAGTCAAACGCTTAAAAATGCTCTGCATCAAAATGCAGATAATTTCTTCCATTCTGATTGATTCTAGTCCAGCTCTGCAAATATATATATATATATATATAATACAGAATTTAAGAGATGGCCCTCCCTATAAGGAACTCTGTGTCAGTACCACAAAAAACCAGCCCAACTATTTCTCTTACGCAGGAAAGCTGCCCAGTAGCTTCTGCATCCACTGCGGTTCACCAGAAGTACACCTTCAGACCTTGTTTGGTTAACTAGGCAGGTTTTAAAATCAAGCATTTCACAAGAGAGCTCAAACATTGGGATGGTCAGGTATGCAGTCAACGGGAGCACCTGCAACAAGATCAAGTGCCAGAGCCTGTGAGGTCACAAGGAAAAATATTTGAGAAGGCGAAGGTCTTCCCTGGCTGACCTTGTGGGATGGGAAAAGAAATATTCTAGTTTAGTAAGTATCTAAGGCGGGATCTGGGTGTGAACTTTGTGGGCAAAGACCTCTGGAAGAAACCATAAGGACATGGTTATCATGTATGTCATGATGTCACCGCACCACGACCCAAATCAAATGAAGAAAGTCTCTGAAAACATGGCTGCCCTTCCAGGCCTTGGGGCAAGATGGCAGCTGAGTTCTATAGGATGTGAACGTTCAGTTCCCAGAATTCTCCAGCCAGCCTTCTGGAAGTTGAAGACCACACATCTGAAAGTTGCCAAGGCTGAGAAAAACTGGTGCAAGAATACCTAGAATCTGTTTTTCATTTTTTATTCTTCCTACCTTTTTAAAATATAAGCCACCCAGAATTATTTGGAATAAAGGTAGACTCTAAATTGTATTAAACCAACCAACCAACCAATAAAATATTTTGCTTCACCTGCACATATTCCTTATGGGCAATAATTTCACACATGCATTATGATGCATATAATGTCACTCGTGGCTGGTTTTGTTTCAGTGCAAACCACTTCATGCATCTGATAAGTGAACTTGCACTTCACATAGGTTAAGCCTTTTAATAAAATAGGTTGGTTGGAAGAGAGTTATCAGCCTTTGTTTCAAGCAAACTAGGTGAAAGGCAGCAATATAATCCATCTAACCCAGGCAAAACCCAGTCACACTAGATATCCTCTTCTCATAGTTAAGCAATATTCTATGTCAGCTATTTAAAACTGAACATTTGTTACCTTTAATACCAACAGTTTTCTGGATAGATGCAAGAAACATAATTAAATTAAAGTTTTGGGAAGAAGAAGAAGAAGAAGAAGAAGAAGAAGAAGGAGAAGGAGGAGGAGGAGGAGGAGGAGGAGGAGGAGGAGGAGAAAGTTCAGATTTAGCTGCTCAGTGCTGATCCAAGACTCAGCTCTGGATACGCCAAGGAAAATGGATTTATGAAAGGCTGTGGAGGAGATGCAGCTAAAAATGTTTTAATAGCCCATTCTGATAGAGATTCTGTCCCATTCAAGCCTTCCAAAATTCCCATGGATAGCCATAGCAACAGCATTTAGACTTATATATCGCTTCACGGTGCTTTGCAGCCTTTCTGAGCGGTTTATAGAGTTAGCCTATAGCCCCTAACAATCTGAGTCCTCATTTTACCGACCTCAGAAGGATGGAAGGCTGAGTCAACCTTGAGCCAGTCAGGATCAAACTGCTGGCAGTGGGCAGACTCAGCCTATAATCCTGCATTCCAACCACAGCTCTATAAAGATGTGCAAGAAAGTAAAAGAATTACGGGATTCACCCCAAAGGAGTATGTCCTTCTGTTCAATTTGTCATCTGCATGAAGTTGGACAAATAAAAATGGCAGCTTCTAGTTTTCCAGCCTCCACTTACCTGCGTAGCTTTGTTGCTGTACTCAATGATAAGATCCTGTTTAAACTCCAGGATCTTCTCCCCGCTGTCCTGCTGGATCACTTGGAGCCCTGTTGGCAGATGGTCCTCTGGGAGATGCTGGTAGGTGAGTAACTCAAAGGTTGTGAGAAATGACACCTTCACCTATCAACAACCAGATATAAAGGGCAAAGCACAGAGGTAAATTGGCAGGATGGCCAAGAGTTGAAGAAACAGGCAACTGGATGATAGGTAGTCTTCAATTTATGACCACAGTTGAGCCCAAAATTTTAATTGCCCCGTTTTACGACCTCCCTTGCCACAGTGGTTAAGTGAATCGCTGCAACTGTTTTGCCCCGTTTTACGACCTCCCTTGCCACAGTGATTAAGTGAATCACTGCAACTGTTAAGTGAGTCACACGGTTGTTAAGTGAGTCTGGCTCCCCCCATCGTCTTTGCTTGCCAGAAGGTCGCAAAAGGGGATCACGTGACCCCGGGACGCTGCGACTGTCATAAATATGAAACAGTGGCCAAGCGGCTGAATTTTGATCATGTAACCACAGGAATGCCGCAGTGGTCATTAAGTATGAAAAATAGTCATAGGTCACTTTTTTCAGTGCCATTATAACTTCGAACGATCACTAAATGAACTGTTGTAAGTTGAGAACTGCTTGAATTGCCAGTTTAACCAATTTCAGTATCTGTAGTGTGCAAAAAGACTACATACTTATGCACAAACATGTTTCATAGGCAAATCCTTTGTCCAGAAGACCTATCCAACTCCTTGATTAGTCTATGACAGGGGTAGGCAACCTTGGCTCTTTTATGACTCGTGGACTTCAACTCCCAGAATTCCTAAGCCATAAAAGAGCCAAGGTTGCCTACCCCTGGTCTATGAAAACAATGAGATGATTTAAAGTTTTACTTCAAGCTGCAAGGTAGTCAGAGGGAGAGAAAAAGAGACTAAAGGCATCAAAAGGCTTTTTAAAACACATCAGCCGTCCAATCTAGTGGAGGCAGGTTGTTCCACTGATTGATTGTTCTAACTGTCAGGAAGTTTCTCCTTAGTTCTAGGTTGCTTCTCTCCTTGGTTAGTTTCCATCCGTTGCTGCTTGTTCTGCCTTCAGGTGCTTTGGGGAACAGCTTGACTCCCTCTTCTTTGTGGCAGCCCCTGAGATATTGGAACACTGCTATCATGTCCCCCCTCGTCCTTCTCTTCGTTAAACTAGACATCCCCAATTCCAGCAACCGTTTCTTATATGCTTTAGCCTCCAGTCCCCTAATCATCTTTGTTGCTCTTCTCTGCACTCTTTCCAGAGTCTCAGCATCTTTTTTACATTTTTACATACATTTGTGAAATGGCCACAGCCCAGTAGTGGGCTGTGGGCCGAGGGTTGGGGACCCCTGCTCTAGATAAGCCACAACCAGTTCCTGCAACCGTTCTTCATATGTTTTACTCTCCAAGCCTTTAGTCATCCTAGTTGCTCTTCTCTTTTTCCAAAGTCTCAACATCTTTTTTGTAATGTGATCGAAACTGGATGTAGTATTCCAGGTGTGGCCTTACTAAGGCTTTATAAAGCAGTACTAATACTTAGTGTGATTTTGATTCTATGCCTCTGTTTATACCACCAAGGATTGTATTAGCTTTTTTGGCTGCTGGCACACACGGATGGCTCATGTTTAAGTCCACCTGGATCTAACCCACTATGATCCTAAGCTGCCCAACATCCCTTGAACAAGACCGTACCAACATATTTTCTAGTGCGTAGAGTAACAGGTGTGCTCCTCCTTCATCTCTTTCATTCTGAGATGTTTTCACGCTCTTTGCAGGGTCCACGCCAGAGATAGAGAAGGGAGTGGATAAAAGAAGGTTGAATGCCAGAGGGGTCTCTGTGTTATTGGTGAGCTTCACGTTCAGAGTGGTAGCTGAATAGATCAGCACCTAAAGGAGAAAATGAACAGAATCGGTTTATATCAGCGCATTTTAGACATGCCATTTCTAGGACAGGCATTCTTTCTTCGCCTGCCCCCCCTTGTAAGACTTCCAATGCCCCAAATATTGCTATTTGGCAGCTACAGGTAATTCTTGACTGATAACCATTTGTTTAGTGACTGTTAGAAATTACAACAGTATCCCAATTGTTAGATGATCAAAATTCAGACAGAATAACAGAGTTGGAAGGGACCTTGGAGGTCTTCTAGTCCAACCCCCTGCTCATACAGGAAACCCTACACCATTTCAGACAAATGGCTGTCCAGTCTCTTCTTAAAAACTTCCAGTGTTGGAGCATTCACAACTTCTGGAGGCAGGTTGTTCCACTGGTTAATTGTTCTAACTGTCAGGAAGTTTCTCCTTAGTTCCAGGTTGCTTCTCTCCTCGATTAGTTTCCACCTGTTGCTTCTTGTCCTGCTTTCAGGCGCTTTGGAGAATAGCTTGACTCCCTCTTCTTTGGGGCAGCCCCTGAGATACTGGAACACTGCTATCCTGTCCCCCCTCGTCCTTCTCTTCATTAAACTAGACGTACCCAATTCCAGCAACCGTTCCTTATATGTTTTAGCCTCCAGTCCCCTGATCATCTTTGTTGCTCTTCTCTGTACTCTTTCTAGAGTCTCAACATCTTTTTTACATCGTGGTGACCAAAACTGGATGCAGTTTATTATTTTATGGCCAATGTATTGTGACCAATTAACTGATTTTAGGAACAAATCAGGGTTGTTCCACATAAAACAGTGGCCTTGTGTTCACTTGAAAAGTCCTCTCTATCTCCCTTCTAACTATTCTTGGATTGAGCTGTTCCAAAATGATTTTTTCCAAATAACAAATATACAGGTAGTCCTCGACTTATGACCACAATTGAGCCCAAAATTTATGTTGCTAAGGGAGAAATTTATTAAGTGAATTTTGCCCCATTTTACGACTTTTCTTGCCATCGTTTTCAAGTGAATTTCTGCAGTTGTTAAGTTAGTCACAGGGTTGTTAAGGTCACAAAAGATGATCACTTGGCCCCGGGACACTGTGACCGTCATCAATATGAGTCAGTTGCCAAGCATCCCAATTTTGATCACATGTCCATGGGAATGCTGCAATGGTTGTAAGTGTGAAAATGGTCATAAGTCACTTTTTTCAGTGCTGATGTAACTTCGAACAATCACTAAATGAACTGTTATAAGACAAGGATCTGTATAAAAAAAAACATATCCTTTTTTTTTTCTCCTGTGCAAAATGCAAGCACTTTGGTGATCTCAGAAGCAGAAAAGCATTACTTACATCCTTGACAAGGGGTTCTGGGATTAAACTGCTGGCCACTGCGTGGAACACCAACCCTTTCTCAAGATCTGTTTCAATTGTCAACCTTCAGGAAGAAAGCAGAATATTGTGACTTACTGGAAAATGAGAACAAATATAGCAGGAAAATGTAAGCAATCAAAAACAGTCTTCCAAAGTCCAGAAAATGATGAAAGGTGAAAATAAAGATGGAAATCATACACCAATCTCTGGATGGAGCCATGCTCGAGGTCTTCCAACTTGACAACTTTAAGACTTGTGAACTTCAACTCCCAGCATGTCTGGCTGGGGAATTCTGGGAGTTGAAGTCCAAAAATCTTGCCAGGTGACTGAAATCACCCCCCAGGGATAGAATGGAAGCAACAATCTATCCTTGCAGTGTATCTCCTAGAAATGGCCCAAGCAGCCATGTTCTAGGAACAGAAGATATTTACAGAGACCAAAATTGCTGGGATTATCCAGCTCCGTCATGACATCTCCAGCTTTACCTGAACTAGCTTCCAAAGGATATTTTAGGGGGCATCGGAGCAAGAATCTCAGAATGGTAAGTTGGAAAGAATCACAAGGAACATTTAGGCCAGGGGTCTTCAAACGTGGCCCTTTTATGACTTGTGGACTTCAACTCCCAGAATTCCTCAGCCAGCATGCCTGGTTGAGGAATTCTGGGAGTTGAAGTCCACAAGTCATAAAAGGGCCACGTTTGAAGACCCCTGATTTAGGCCAACATCTGTATTATATGGGACAACAGTTCCATCACTCAAGAGAGATGATTGTCTAGCCCAGTGATGGCGAACCTTTTAGAGACTGAGTGCCCAAATTGCAACCCAAAACCTACTTATGCATCATTGAGTGCCGGGTGGGTGTGGCCCATTGGGTGGGTGTGGCCAATTGGGTCGGTGTGGCCCATCGGGTGGGCGTGGCTGTGGTGGTAACAGCAGACTGGGTGGGACTAAAAAGTTCAATCAATCAATTCCAACTTTGCAAGATCTTTCCCCCCCCACCCTCGAGAAGTTGAAATTGACTGATTGAACCTTTTTTTTTTGCACATGGCGGTGGAGGCCTAAAGCGAAAAGGTTTTATAAAACCCAGCCGAAGGCCTAGGACTGGGGCGACGGCCCGTGTGCCCAGAGAGAGGGCTCTGAGTGCCCCTTCTGGCATCCGTGCCATAGGTTCGCCACCAATGGCCTAGCCTCCTCCTTAAAAAGATGGATGGTTTCTCCAGAAATGGAGAAACCTTAACTTTTACAGGTAGACTGTTCTACTATGTCTTGCTGTCAGAAAGTTACTCTTTCTATTGAAAGAAAATCTAAGTTCTGCAGTTTATATCCATTATTTCTAGTCCTAGTTTTTATGGCCATGATGTAGATCAACTCCATCATCCAGGTATCTTCTTTTTATGGATCTGAATACCAATATCTTGTCTCCTCTCCAGCTTATTTTGCCCAGCCTTGTTTTCCCTACCCTGTACCTCCCCTAACTTGTCTGTAACACTGCGAAAATGGGATGCCCAGAATCATAAAGGTACACAGGTAGTCCTCAATTTACAAGAGTTCATTTAGTGACCGTTCAAAGTTATAACAGCACTGAAAAAAGTGACTTATAATGATTGCAGCAGCAGCATCCCCAGGGTCATGGGATCAAAATTCAGATCCTTGGCAACTGACAGCTGCACTGTCATGTCGTCATGTCATCACCTTTTGCAACTTTCCGAAAAACAAAGTCAATAGGGAAACCAGATTCAATTAACAACCAGGTCACCAAATTAACAGCTGCAATTGTGACAAGGGAGGCCATAAAATGGAGCAGAGTTCACTTAACAAATGTTTCGCTTAGCAACAGAAATCTGGGGCTAAATTATGGTTGTAAGTCAAAGGACTACCTGTACAGCAGTGGTCTCACCAGTGCCAAATAAAGGCCCTAATTTCTTCCCTGATCCTCACATGTCATCACTGACCAAAGGCAAGAGAGGCAGTTTGGTGTACTGGTTAAGGGGCTAGCCTAGAAACCAGAAGACATGAGTTCTAGTTCTGCTTTAGCCAGCTGGGTAATTCTAGGCCAATCATCAGGAGACAGTGAGTCCTTGTCCCACTGTTGGCAAGAGGACTTTGGGTCAGTACCGTGTTTTCCCGAAAATAAGATCCACCCAGGAAATAAGCCCTAGCCTGATTTTTTTTAGCATGCTCCAAATATAAGCCCTGCCCCAAAATAAGCCCGGGGGATGGGAGTGGCCAGCATAGGAGACAGCAAGCGTGTGGGAGCTGATGGTGTCTGGTAGCAGCTGCAGCCCGAGCAGCAAAGGTAGCTCCGAGCACGGAGGCAGAGGCGGAGGGAAGTGAGACAGGTGATCAGGATGTGCTGCGCAGCCGCCTGGCTCATGTGAGGCTCGCGGGAGGCTCACACGGCAACCCCAGCAGCAGGTGGAGGCAGAGCCACTGGGGGAAGGCAGGTGATCCCGATGCGCTGTCTGTCCCTCCGTCTCTCAGCTTGCCCGCAGCCATGCCAGGATCGGCTACCTCTCTCCCCTCCATGCCTCTGCCTCCGCCTGCTGCCAGTGTCGCCACGTGAGCCTCCTATGAGTCTCCCGTGAGCCAGGTGGATGTGCAACACGTCCGGGTCACCCGCCTCCCTCCCCACCCCTGCCGTGTGCTTACCGCCTCTTGTGCACGCACCGGGGGGGGAATGGGACGCCCGGCCAGGCTGATCACCTGGATACCGTGTCTCCCTCCAAAAAAGCCCTAATGCCTCTTTTGGTGCCAAAGAAAACATAAGACTGGGTCTTGCTTCACTTCAATGGCATCCTGCCGTAAAAGGGAAGGAGGGGGAGAGCAAGGGGACATAGGGAGGGGCGAGGATGACAGGATGGGAGGACCAGAGATGCCAGCCCAGAATAGAGCCTGGCAGATCCAAGGACACAAGAGTGAGAACGGCATGCAAACGCCCAACAAACAGGCGCCAAGCTATGGGACTGTGACCAAAACACTTAGTTTGAATAACCATTGGACATTTATGAAAGGGCCGAAGGGGGAGGGCCCGGGAGGAGGAAAAAAGCACTGGTTTTACATGGGAATATTCAGATCTGGCTTTGCTAGGCTGTCACCAATTGGCTTCAGTATTAAAATACTTTTCACTAGAGATGGGGTTGAGGGTCTTTCTTTCCAGAAAATCCGAGCTGGGACAGGCCTGACAATTACGCATGCTCGCCATTTTGCGTTACAGCAGGGGTGTCAAACTCAATGTCATTGAGGGCCGCATCAGCATTGCGGTTGTCCTCGGGGTGGGTGGGTAGGTGTGGCCAGGGTGGGAGTGGCCTACTGGGTGGGTGTGGCCAGCTCTACATCATTCACGTCAAGGGTGCCTGTGGGGGCCTGGGCAGGAGTGGGACAGATCTGAGGGTCTCTGGCAGAAGGGGGTGGGACCAGGGCAAGTGCCAAGGCATGGTCCACTGGAGGAGCCTCACTGTTCCTCTCAGGCCATGCGGGGGGTGGGGGGGCTTATGGATCTAAGACTGAATGTGTTTCAGCATAGATGGCCACCACAAAATTATACATTTGATCCCAGCCGGCCTGGGCCAAACACAAGGCAGCGGGGGCCGTTCCCTCACTGTTTCCAGGATGGCTTCGCGGGCCACATGAAACCACTTCGCGGGCTGCATCCGGCCCCCGGGCCTTGTGTTTGACATGTCTGCGTTATAGGTAGTCCTCGAGATATGACTATTATTGAGCCCAAAATTTATGTTGCTAAGTGAAACATCTGTTAAGTGAATTTTGCCCCATTTTACTACTTTCCTTGTGACATTTTTGTTAAGGGAATCGCTGCAGTTCTTAAATAAATAACATGGCTGTCAAGTGAATCTGGTTTCCCCCACTGAATTTGCTTATCAGAAGTTCGCAAAAGGGGATCACGTCACTCTGGGGCACTGCGACCGTCCTAAATATGAGTCGGTTGCCAAGAGTCTGAATGTGGATCACGTGACCATGGGGATGCTGCAATGGTCGTCAGTGTGAAAAACGGTCACAAGTCAGTTTTTTTCAGTGCCGTTATAAATGTGAATAGTCACTAAATGAATTGTTGTAAATCAAGGATTGCCTGTAATTATAAAGCAACAAAGGCAGGATAAAAATCTAATAGATAAATAAAATAAATAAGACAGTCGTATTTCAGAATATGCCCCTTTAACATCAAGTATTAGCTTACAGAGCAGGCTTGACAAATGCTTGCAAATCAATCCTCAGTGGGGCAAGAGAATGGCCATCTTCACGAGTTACTTTCTCAGGGACTTTCCGAATAATCTGAAGGAGGGGAAAAGTCAAAAAGGACAAAATTAGATTGGGCAATCTTTCACTTTCAGTTTACAGAATTTATTTCCATAACTCCGACATGTAAATATTAATATTCTATCCGAGACTAGCGACGATTATGTTACACGGTAACTTACCGTGAATGATAAAACTCTGCCTTTCAAATGAGCTGCAACCAATTTGGGAAGGAAAAAAAAGAATCAAGGAAACAAGGTGTTTTCATAACTATATACGGGTAGTCCTCGAGTTACAACAGTTCATTTAGCGATCGTTCGAAGTTACAACGGCACTGAAAAGGTGACTTAGGACCATTTTTTCACACTTGCAACATCCCCACGGCCACGTGATTAAAATTCAGATGCTTGGCAACTGACTCATATTTAGGAAGGTTGCAATGTTTCAGAGTCATGTGATCCCCTTTTGCGATCTTCTGACAAGCAAAGTCAATGGGGAAGGCAGATTCAATAAACAACCGTGTTACTAACTTAGCAGCTGCAGTGATTCACTTAACGACGGTGGCAAGGGAGGTCGTAAAATGGGGCAAATCTCAGTTAACAACTGTCTCACTTAGGAATAGAAATTTTGGACCCAATTGTGGTCGTAAGTTGAGGACTACCTGTGATGTTCATTTTTTAAAAAAATGCAGCATACAAATCCTAAAGAGAACAGCGTGCTTGTTGATGTCAGGAAGAACTGCTTTTTGATTTCAATGTTCTTTCCTACCCAAACCTGATCATCCCAAACACATCCAGCATCATCAGTCAGCCCCATCAGACCTGGTAGGAGAAGGAGACGCTGCAGGTACCGTCTGCTAGGAATATACATTGGGTGAGTCTGGAGCAGGGTTAGGCCACCTTGGCTCTTTTATGACTCGTGGACTTCAACTCCCAGAATTCCTGAGCCAGCCATGCTGACGGGAAAGGGAGAGGTTTTCAAGCTGAGCCATGCTGGCTCAGGAATTCTGGGAGTTGAAGTCCACGAGTCATAAAAGAGCCAAGGTGGCCTACCCCTGGTCTGGAGAGACGGGACTTCTTTGCTGTGGCACCTTCTTATGAAACATTCTCCCGTGAAATTAGGTCAGCTCCACCCTCTTTATGTTCCAGAAATCCCTCAAGACCTGGTTATGTCACTAGGCCTGGGACTCCCAAGAAACCACTGTGATATCTTAAGTCTTCAATGGCTTTGAAATTCATTGAATCTGGTACTCAGTGCATTTTGACGTGAAAATTTTGTCCTGGTCCTCATTGTTTGTTTGGTACTCAACGCACAAGCTAGAACTTGTTGGTATCAGCTGCCTTGTTACTCCCGTCATTATTCCTTATGGGAAAAATTTATCATTTATGGTGCTCATCCTGCATCCCGGAACCAATCCGGGAAGCAGTTCCCTTTTGAAAAAGCGCTTTTGGGACACCCATGACCTGGATGACTGAGAATCTCCATAGACAAGGCAAGGATGGATTGAAAAATTAATACTAAAAGTTAATTAGAAGGCTAGGGGAGGGTTTTCAGGATGTAATCAGCCCCAGGGCTGGGTGTTCTTCTAGGAGCCCCAAGCCAGGCCACAGAGCCATGTTTTTACACCTTTACCGAAGGCCAGAATAGTGGAGTCCAGCCTAACCACCAGAGGTAGAATATTCCACAAAGCTCCAGCCTCTTCTTGGATCCCACCTGTTGCAATTCTTTGGCTGACGGGGGGTCCCTAACATGTTCTCCCTGCCTGATCTTGATCTATCTTCTCGTGAAGTGGACAGCCAAATACACTTGATTCTTAAATAAATAAATCCAGGCAACTGACAGTAAAGGGCTAAGTGATGGAGTTTAGTTAGCAAGCAATTTTTAACCTAAATTTGGGATGAATCCCATCAAACAAGGAGAGGGTTTTAAGGACTGTGTCAAAATGTCAGAAGATTGGCCAACAAAGCTGCCGCTTGGCCAACTCTTCAGCAGCCCCCTTTAGGATACTGGAATAAAACCCATGTCTGTTACTATTTGATTGACAGAGGATCTGCCACCAAAATAATAATAATAATAATAATAATAATAATAATAATAATAATAATAATAATAATAATAATAATAATAATAATAATAATAATAATAATAATAATAATAGTAGTAGTAGTAGTAGTAGTAGTAGTAGTAATAATAATAATAATAATAATAATAAAGTTGGAAGGGACCTTGGAGATCATCTAGTCCAACCCCCTGCTCAGGCAGGAAACCCTACTGTCAACGCTGCAAATACTGTATATTCTTGCTTTGACAATGTCAAGTGTCTGAGTAACGAAACACTTAAAACCTACATCATTTCAGACAAATGGCTGTCCAGTCTCTTCTTAAAAACTTCCAGTGTTGGAGCATTCACCGCTTCTGGAGGCAGGTCGTTCCACTGGTTAATTGTTCTAATTGTCAGGAAGTTTCTCCTTAGTTCTAGGTTGGTTCTCTCTTTAGTTAGTTTCTACCCGTTGCTTCTTGTCCTGCCTTCAGGCGCTTTGGAAAATAGCTTGACTCCCTCTTCTTTGGGGCAACCCCTGAGATACTGGAACTCTGCTATCATGTCCCCCCCTCGTCCTTCTCTTCATTAAACTAGACATACCCAATTCCAGCAGCCTTTCCTTATATATTTTAGTCTCCAGTCCCCTAATGTGCAGATGCTGAGAAATGACTTCCCCAGCTTCTTGGATTGGATCCCGACAGACTGAGGCACATGTGACTGAGTTGAAGAAAATGGAATAAAAACTCTTCTTCTCCACCACAGGGTGAGAAGCCCTGGTGAATATATCTGGCTGTGGGAGAGAGAAGGAAACTCATCCAAGGGAGATACAGGTATCTTATACATTACACCTAAAAAAACAAGACGGCCTGATTTTTAAGGCTCAACGTCACAGCTTCCTCATTCTGCAGAAAAGCCCGATTCGCTGGAGAGCAAAAGGGAAACAAAAAGGGAAAAAAAAGAACTTGCAAAGAATCAAATGAACCTCGCTTTGTGTACCTCTCTGTCCAGACTCATGAAGCCCAGCGCAAAACCTTCACATTCAAACTTATGAATGATTTCCGGAAGCATCAGAGGAGTGAAGGAGATGTGAATGGCAGCGGCGCCCCCTGCAGGGATAACCTGGAAACAAGAGTCGGGTCTGTTCAAAAGGATGCACCAAAGGAAAAGAAGGATAAGCCGAGTGGCAGGAATACAGGCCAACTTCTAGATCAGTGTTTTCAACCTTGGCAGATTCCCCAGCAAGCATGGTGACCTCGCTTGCAGATTTTGGACAAGCACCAGAAGATAATGGAGATACAGAAAAACTCTCATTTTTGTGACCATCTAATGCAGGGGAGGGGAACGATGGCCCTTTTATGTCTTGTGGACTTCAACTGCCACAAGTCCACAAGTCATAAAGGGGCCTTCGTTCCCCATCTCTGATCTAGTGCATCTGCTTCTCCTTGTGGGCTGGGGAATTCTGGGAGTTGAAGTCCACCCATTTTAAAGTTGCCACGGTGGAGAAGTTACACTATTCTACCCAGGTTTGCTAGATGGTTAGTTGGGATAGTCCAGGGGTAGTCAACCTTGGCTCTTTTATGACTCGTGGACTTCAACTCCCAGAATTCCTGAGCCAGGAATTCTGGGAGTTGAAGTCCACGAGTCATAAAAGAGCCAAGGTTGACTACCCCTGGGTTAGTCTATGGCAGCTGAAATTTAGAAAGATCCTACAATTTGCAAACTTTTCTAAAAAAAATTTTTTAAAAAAAAAAAATGGTTAATTTGAAAACATGCTACTAGACTTCTATATTTTTTAACGGAAATCTGGGGAACTGGCAGGGAAGTGGGTGTCACACCACTCCATGGAACCTTCCAGAGGTGTAACGGAGCGAAAAGAACAGCTTCCTCTTGCTAAGCTGTTGACACCCTCAGCCTCTTGCCTCCCTCCACACCTCTTTCCACCTGGAGGGGTCTAGGACAGTGGTGGCGAACCTTTGGCACAGGTGCCAGAGGTGGCACTCGGAGCCCTCTCTGTGGGCACACGTGCCATTGCCCCAGCCTCACCTTCCCCGCGACCCCCTCCTCTCCAGCAGCCCCCCTGGAGGAGAGTCGCCCCTGAGCATGGCCCACGTGGAGCAGCGCAGCCAAGGACATGGCAGCCAGGCAGCGTAGACAAGACTCTGCCCTCACATCCCCATCGCACACAGTTGATGCTGCGGGGCGCAGGGAGAGGGCATTGACTGCTGGGCTGCCTGGGCGATCTGTGGTGGACCCTGGAGGCGGTGAGTGGCCCTGCGGGCAGGTGGGGTGGGGGATGGGGGGTGGAGCGGGGGCAGGGTGGGGGGTGGAGCAGGGGTGGGGCCAGTTTTTGGGCACTCGGTCTCTAAAAGGTTCGCCATCAGTGGTCTAGGACAGTGATGGCGAACCTTTTAGAGACCGAGTGCCCAAACTGCAACCCCAAACCCACTTATGCATCGTCAGGTGCCGGGTGGGTGTGGCCCATTGGGTGGGCATGGCCCATTGGGTGGGCGTGGCTGAGGTAGTAACAGCAGACTGGGTGCGACTAAAAAGTTTAATCAATCAATTCCAACTTTGCAAGACCTTTTTTTTTCCTGCGAGAAGTTGAAATTGGTTGATTGAACCTTTTTTTTATATATATACATAGCAGCAGAGGCCTAAAGCAAAAAAGTTTTATAAAACCCAGCTGAAGGCCTAGGACCGAGGTGACAGTGCACGTGCCCACAGAGTGGGCTCTGAGTGCCGCCTCTGGCACATGTGCCATAGGTTCGCCACCACTGGTCTAGGACAACTCGCCACAGCCAACTTACTATGGGACAAGAGTTACACTAATATCAAAGAAATGATGGAACAGAATCCTTAAAGGAGGGGCGAAATGAAATGTGGTGAGAAAAATTAAAATATTTTTTTATTTGTTTTAAATAATTAGATTAATTGTAGATTTCCCCCAGGGTGAGTTGTCTCACAGCGAGATGGCCGAGGCGAGTTGCCTGTGGTGATTGGCCGTGGTGATTTGGCCATGGCGATTTCTCCCGTTCCGTACCTCCCACTCCTTGCCAGCCTGGGTTAAGGGATCTGCAACTTACAATCTGTTTGGGAGTGATGCAGAAAGGGTAATCCGAGGGAACGCCCTCGTGAGGTCGAAGGACCACAGAGACTATTGGCTTGCGCGTCTCTGGTTCCCGGTAGGAGTCATCAGAACTTCCTTCATCATCCTCAAAAAGTGTCCCCAGGTTCTACAGGGATGAATGTGAAAGAGGGAAAGAAATAATAATAATAAAAAATCCTGCAAAGACTGGTAGTTGATTCAAAAGAAACAGGGGGAAAGTTACACAAATATAATAAGCATGCACTATATTTTAAAGAGGTGGTTTGGAACAATTGCTTGGGATCTCTGCTGGAAACGGTATGGATGGAACTCGAGTGGATCCAATTTTGTATCCTGTGCATCACATTCACAGCTGGAAGAGAGCAAAGCTCAGCCTTGAACATGCAAATAGTTTTTCAACTTTTTATTGCCTGTCAAGGAGAGAAACCACAGTCCTTCAACCTCCTATTCCCATCCGGAAGCGACTATAAAACAGCCTCCAAAGACTTTTCTTAGTAGATTACGCGTAGGGACCAACCCTTTTACTCCTTGCTCACCCTTCAATCCTCTGTCTACTGACACAGCTGCACAGTAATTCCCCAAGCTCCACTGGTTGGAATGGAACAAGCCTATATTATCCTTTAAGGGACAAAAAAAAAATCTCTTTCATTGTTGCAACGGTACCAACATTTTACCTAATAAGGATTAAAATTTTCTGTTAAAGTGAAACAGTAGAGCGGTGTTTTTCATCTTTGACAACTTTAAGATGGGTGGACATCAATTCCCAGAATTCCCCAGCTAGCATGCTGACTGGGGAATTCTGGGAGTTGGCATGCCCCCATCTTAAAGTTGTCAAGCTTGGCCAATAAAGAATTCTATTCTATTGTTTTTCTATTCTATTGTATTGTTTTTCTATTGTTATTCTATTGTTATTCTATTCTATTCTATTCTATTCTATTCTGTTCCCTTATTCCCTCATTCTCTTCTCTTCTCTTCTCTTCTCTTCTCTTCTCTTCTCTTCTCTTCTCTTCTCTTCTCTTCTCTTCTCTTCTATTCCCTTATTCCCTCATTCTATTCTGTTCTGTTCTGTTCTGTTCTATTCTATTCTATTCTTAAATGTCTTGCCTACATTGTAGAAATGCCATGTATTCTAAGAAAACTTTATTTTGGAGAAATCCTTTAAAAGGGAGGAAAATAACACTTTTTAAATAGTCCGTGTACTAACCAGGTTCTCCCTGGCTGATGACCAGGTAGAGTCTGAAGTGGAAGACATTTTCTTAGAGGATGTGTCTGACTTCCAGAGAACATTGATCTCATTGCCATCTGAGTCCTTGATTGGAAACTGTGCACCATAAAACACCAACAGATCGATCAGTTTGTCATCATCTTTATCTTGGTTGTAACTTTCCCAGTCCATTCGAATGTCTGAATTGAAGAAGGGAGAAAAGGTGAAATCAAAATGAGGGTGGCTAAATGTTTGCAGCTAAGTATGGAGTTGCCTGTAACCTCAGGAGGTCATTGGCTAAAACAGGTTTTTTTTAAACTTGGCAACTTTAAGATGTGTGGATTTCAGCTCCCAGGATCCCCCCAGCCTGTTGGGCTAAAAGTTTCGTAGTTCCTTCAAAAACTCTAGAACAGTGGTGGCGAACTATGGCACGGGTGCCAAAGGCGGCACTCAGAGCCCTCTCTGTGGGCATGCGCACCGTCGCTTCAGTCCTAGGCCTTTAGCTGGGTTTTATAAAAACTTTTCTCTTTAGGCCTCCGCTGCCGTGTGAAAAAAAAAAAGTTCAATCAGTCAATTTCAACTTCTCGCAGGAAAAAAAAAGATCTCTCAAAGTTGGAATTGATTGATTGAACTTTTTAGTCCCACCCAGTCTGCCGTTACTACCGCAGCCATGCCCATCCAATGGGCCACGCCCACCCGGCACTCAACGATGCATAAGTGGGTTTGGGGTTGCAGTTTGGACACTCAGTCTCTAAAAGTTTCGCCATCACTGCTCCAGAGACTCTAGAAAGAGTGCAGAGAAGAGCAACAAAAATGGTCAGGGGGCTGGAGGCTAAAACATATAAGGAACGGTTGCTGGAATTGGGAATGTCTGGTTTAATGAAGAGAAGGACGAGGGGGGACATGATAGCAGCGTTCCAGTATCTCAGGGGCTGCCCCAAAGAAGAGGGAATCAAGCTATTCTCCAAGGCTCCTGAAGGCAGGACAAGAAGCAACGGATGGAAACTAATCAAGGAGAGAAGCTACCTGGAACTAAGGAGAAACTTCCTGACAGTTAGAACAATTAACCAGTGGAACAACCTGCTTTCCTAAGCGGTGAATGCTCCAACACTGGATGTTTTTAAGAAGAGACTGGACAGCCATTTGTCTGAAATGGTATAGGGTTTCTTGCCTGAACAGGGGGTTGGACTCGATGACCTCCAAGGTCTCTTTCAACTGTATGATGATGATGATGATGATGATTGATCATCGCACAAGCAGATGTTCAGACTGGATTTGGCATTTTGTCTACCTATCGAGTCCTTACCAAGGACCTGGGATAGGCAGATGTGGATGTTTGATGGTATTACAGATCTCGTCGCAGGATGGAAGCAGTTCCTAGTAAGGCCGCCTTTTGCAATTGACTAATGGCGAATTTGTTATTGTTACTACTATTACTACTACTACTACTACTACTACTATTATTATCGCTCATCCTCAAGGTTGGAAGATATTTTGAATGTTGCTTGGAGAAAATCTCAAAATCCACAGACATTGGGGGGGGGGGGCGAGGAGACAAGGGGAGACATATTCTTAGGTGTTTCCCAAACTTGCAAAGACCTTGATCCAGGGGTCTTCAAACTTGGCCCTTTTATGACTTGTGGACTTCAAGTCCCAGAATTCCTCACCCAGGCAAGTCATAAAAGGGCCAAGTTTGAAGACCCCTGCCTTGATCCTTCGTTTTCCTGGGTGGGTGGGGGAGCGGGGGGAGGCTTGCCTGTTTTTTGGGGGGAAACGACACTGGCCGGTACAAACCCTTACCGAAGGGAGTGGGGTTATTGAGACGGATGTACCGTGAGACGGTGTCTCCTCCAGAGATGTGAGCTCCAAACCTGGGAAGGAAACAAGATATTATGTGGCAATCTGAACAGGTTGTCCTTGACTTACGACCAGAAAATTTATTGTTAAGTGGTACTGTCATTAAGTGAGGCATCAATACCTGCATCTGATTTTGCAACGGTCGTTAAGTGAATTACTTTGCTTGTTTCGCAAGACACCACGACTGAAAATTGTGACCTCGCAAACGTGACCACCACAGGGATGTTGCAATGGTCATAAATGTGAGGACTAATCATGAATCGCTTTTTTCAGCCCCATTGCAACTTTGGTCATTAAAAGAATGACAGTAAGTTGAAGACTACCTGAAATAACAATGATTATTACGAGAATGCTAATTATTTAACTAGTAAGAACTATGTTTTGAAAACTGGGATGGAGAAAATATATTTCCTAGGATCCCTCTGGCTAATCAAGCCAGCCAGAAGCTTACAGGAACTTTCTGGAGGAATGCAAAACTATTGGCACCAGAGGAAGGATGTTTCTTTCTTTCTTTATTTGTATTCCGCCTTTATTATTTTTACAAATAACTCAAGGCAGCAAATGTATCCAACATGCCTTCTTCCTCCTATTTTTGCCCACAACAACAACTCTGTGAGGTGGATTGGGTTGAGAGCGAGAGAATGATTGGCCCAAAGTCACCCAGCCAGCCTTCATGCCTGAGGCGGGACTAGAACTCACCGTTTCCTGGTGATTGGCCCAAAGTCACTCAGCCAGCTTTCATGCCTGAGGCAGGACTAGAACTCACTGTCTCCTGGTGATTGGTCCATAGTCACCCAGACCGCTTTCATGGCTGAGGTGGGACTTGAATTCACAGTCTCCTGCTTTCTAGTCTGGTGCCTTAACCACTAAACCAGGGGTAGGCCACCTTGGCTCTTTTATGACTGGTGGACTTCAACTCCCAGAATTCCTGAGCCAGCATGGCTCAGCTTGGAAATTCTCCCTTTCCCCTCAGCATGGCTGGCTTAGGAATTCTGGGAGTTGAAGTCCACCAGTCATAAAAGAGCCAAGGCGGCCTAGCCCTGGACTAAACCAAATGGGGGGGGGGGGGACTGAAACACAAGGCAGAAGTGGATGAAGACAAGCATTAGTTCTTCAGGCAGGAGCTGCAGGGGATTCAAAATCAAAAGAGCTTCATCCCCATCTCATGCAAAAGATCTGGGCTGCAGCCTTTGAGGAGATCCGTTGCTGTCACTGGGTCAGTCCTTCAACATGAAAGAGGAAGGGGCCCCATGCCACGTAAGAGCTGTGGCCAGGTCAGGGTTATCTTCAAAGGGAAAAATACAAGTTCCTGCTAGTCTAGAATACATCTCTCTGAAATTTCCACAGCCTCTCAATTGGGAGTTCCTGGTAGCCTTGCTGAAAGTTTCTGACATCTACAGTACCTGATGATGGGGGTCGCCATGGGATGGCTTGGTCCAGTCATCTGCAGGAAGATGGGGCAGCCTTTCACTGACATTTCCATGGGGATCAACCTTGGCTCTAAATCACCCATCTGCATAAGAAAGAGGATTTTTTTTATATACCCAACTCATTTTAACCTGAGCTACACATTTTTAAAGGCTGTTTTAAAGCTTATAAAGTATTGCCTTATAAAACTTTAGTAAGACCACACCTGGAATACTGCATCCAGTTCTGGTCGGCACACTATGAAAAATAGGTTGGGACTTTGAAAAAAAGTGCAGAGAAGATCAGCTAATGATTAAAGGCCTGGAGACTAAAACATACGCGGGAATTGGGTCTGTCTAGTTTAATGAAGAGAAGGACGAGGGGGGACATGATACCAGCCTTCCAGTATCTCAGGGGCTGCCCCAAAGAAGAGGGAGTCAAGCTATTCTCCAAAGCGCCTGAAGGCAGGACAAGAAGCAACGGATGGAAACTAACCAAAGAGAGAAGCAACCTAGAACTAAGGAGAAACTTCCTGACAGTGAGAACAATTAACCAGTGGAACAACCTGCCTCCAGAAGCGGTGAACGCTCCAACACTGGAAGTTTTTAAGAAGAGACTGGACAGCCATTTGTCGGAAATGGTATAGGGTTTCCTGCCTGAGCAAGGGGTTGGACTAAATGACCTCCAGCGTCCCTTCCAGCTCTATTCTGAATTTGAAATTTGAAAATATTCTCCCTTATTATACCTGACTGATCTGGAAGCTAAAGAAGGGCATGCTTTGGAGAAATGTTCTTATTGAGTGTTGGTGAACGCTAGTGTGTCGCTCTAAACATTGTGGCGTGTCCCCTTTGAAACGTGTGCCACGGCTTCGCCATCAACCGCTCTGATGTTAGGTCGATATTCCATCTGCTGGCTCAGACAGGCCGCCTACCTTACAGATGAGAACATCCTTATAATGTCCCCACATATTGTTGTAGGCTGTGATTTCTATATTAAATTTCTGGCAAGCCTCCAGGATCCCCTCCGACGGATGCACGTGGAAAGCCGCTCCTTTCCCTTGGGACAGCATGCCCCCTCGGAAGGCTGAAAAAGCGGAAAAACAAAAACAGCTGTGACAGTGCAGCTGCTGGGCTCCCCATTGTCTGAAAGGGACTGGCCAGGGCAGTGTCCGGCTGCATTTCCCCATTAAAATAAGTCTTCAGTCTCACAAACTTCCTGTCTACAAAAACACAACAGATTTTTTTTTTCTTACCCGACTGCTTCTTCTTTAGGATTGGTCGTGTTATTCGCCTGGTTTTCTCCAGCATCGTGTCCCTAGACAGAGGAAACACAATCTCTGACAACTCGTAAGGATGCCTTGGTATCTGCAGGCGTGATGCATGCTTCAAAAATATACTTTAAAACACTGCAGATCCTTCTTCACCTGGAAATGCTGATCTGTTAGCGAAGGGACACTATGTCCCTTTCAAGGTGGTGGTTCTGGGAAGCACTACAATCCCCATCATCACCAAGCACAGCAGGAAGCCATTTCCTTAAGATGGCTTTTGTAAATATTGGAGAGAGAGAGAGAGACAGATAGACAAACATATGATAGATAGATGATAGATAGATAAATACTGTAGACAGAGAGAGAGAGAGAGAGACTAGACAGCAGACAGACAGACATAGATAGATAGATGATAGATAGATAGATAGATAGATAGATAGATAGATAGATAGATAGATTGATTGATTGATAGATAGATAGATAGATAGATAGATAGATAGATAGATAGATAGATAGATAGATAGATAGATAGATAGATAGATAGATAGATAGATAGATGGATGGATAGATAGATAAATACTGAGATAGACAGACATGAGATATATATAGATAGATATAGATATAGATATATATATATATATATATATAGACAGACAGACAGACAGACAGACAGAGAGATACTGTAGACAGACAGACATAGATAGATGATAGATAGATAGATAGATAGATAGATAGATAGATAGATAAATACTGTAGACAGAGAGAGAGAGACTAGACAGCAGACAGACAGACAGACAGACAGACAGACATAGATAGATAGATAGATAGATAGATAGATAGATAGATAGATAGATAGATAGATACTGAGATAGACAGACATATGATATATATAGACAGACAGACAGACATATGATATATATAGACAGACAGACAGACAGACAGACAGAGAGATACTGTAGACAGACAAGACATAGATAGATGATAGATAGATAGATAGATAGATGATAGATAGATAGATAGATAGATAGATAGATAGATAGATAGATAGATAGATAGATAGATAGATAGATAGATAGATAGATAGATAGATGGATGATAGGTAGAGATAGATAGATAGATAGATAGATAGATAGATAGATAGATAGATAGATAGATAGATAGATAGATAGATAGATAGATAGATAGATAGATGATAGATAGATAGATAGATAGATAGATACTGAGATAGACAGACATATGATATATATAGACAGACAGACAGACATATGATATATATAGACAGACAGACAGACAGACAGAGAGATACTGTAGACAGACAGACATAGATAGATGATAGATAGATAGATGATAGATAGATAGATAGATAGATAGATAGATAGATAGATAGATAGATAGATAGATAGATAGATAGATAGATAGATGATAGGTAGAGATAGATAGATAGATAGATAGATAGATAGATAGATAGATAGATAGATAGATAGATAGATAGATAGATAGATAGATAGATGATAGGTAGAGATAGATAGATAGATAGATAGATAGATAGATAGATAGATAGATAGATAGATAGATAGATAGATAGATAGATAGATACTGAGATAGACAGATAGAGACAGACATATGATAGCTAGATATAGATAGACAGACAGACAGACAGACACTGAAGACAGACAGACAGAAGCCTACAGTTTCTATTGACATGAGAACTGGCTAATACACCTTTCTTCACATACCCTATGTCCCATCTGATCAGATCCCACTGAGTCAGCAATTGGAAAAAATTATAAAGAAGAAACATTGGTGCGATTAGCAGAATGGGGCCTTTATTTGAGATTCCATCTTGCCTGGGGAGGAACTCCTTATTAGAGAGAAAGGACAGTCAACTTTTTCAAAGCCCGTCTCTGGAGGGTCCGTGACCATTCGCCACGGCCAACGTGCGGTGGGACAATTCGCCAAGGGGACAAGAGTTTACGCTAATATCAAAGAAATGGTGGAATAGAATCCTTTAAGGAAAAGGATGCAAAAGGAAGGACAGAATGAAACGTGAATTGAAAAATAAATAAATAAAAACAATTTATTTATTTATTTATTTTAAATAATGAAACTGAATTGTTAAATTGTCCCGCGGCGAGTTGGCTGTGGTGAGTTGTCCCATTCCGATCTCCGGATGCCCAAGGAAGTGCTTAGAAAGATTTGAGGAATTGAATATTTGTAACTATTTGTTGTTGTTGTTAGTTTCGAAGTCGTGTCCGACCCATCGCGACCCCATGGACAACGTTCCTCCAGGCCTTCCTGTCCTCTGCCATCTTCTGGAGTCCATTTAAGCTCACGCCTACTGCTTCAGGGACTCCATCCAGCCACCTCATTCTCTGTCGTCCCCTTCTTCTTCTCTTGCCCTCCATCTTTCCCAGCATCAGGCTCTTCTCCAGGGAGTCCTTCCTTCTCATTAGGTGGCCAAAGTACTTGAGTTTCAACTTCAGGATCTGGCCTTCTAAAGAGCAGTCGGGGTTGATCTCCTCTAGGGCATGGAAATGTTGGGGACCATGAGAAGTCTACTAAACCAGAGTCACCAGAGCTTTGCCCTCCCGATCAAAGGGCAAATGGAACAAAACAAGACATACCCTTCTTGATCCTCAGAAGATTGTGGAGGGCTGCTGAAATAATCAACTTCTACGGTGAAGGGAGCAGCTAATTCGGAATGGTTGATAATGATCAACTGACGCTTTATCACACTCTCCAAGGCCACCTCAGAGCCAAATCTGAGTTTTAGATTTTCTGAATCCGTTAAGTTTTGTTCCTCATCACTGCAGAACAATAAGAACAGAAGTTAAGTCAGCCACCGTCCTTTTAGAGATGACTGCCCAGAAAAAGGGCAATTAAGATCAGTGGGTGGGATTCAGCCGGTCCGCAGAACCGGTAGCTAATTTTTTGTTGCCCAGGACAAGAACGGACTTCCGGAAGCGGCATCCACACAGAGAACTGGTTGTTCCCATATTTGAATCCCACCACTGATTAAGATGCCAGGCCACAAAGGACAATGAAAGATTTCTTTAGAGGCAGTCCTCGACTTAGGACTGGTTGCTTAGGGACCATTCAAAGCTACAATGGATGCCCCCAGGATACCTGAGACAGAGATTTGAAGTTCCAATCACCAGTGATCACATTTTGGGTGCTTGGCAGCCAGCCTACATTTATGACCATTTGCAATGTTCTATCTATATGGTTACGTGGCCATGATTTATAACATTTTTGTGGAAACGAGCATTTACTTCCTGCTTCCCGGCAAAAACACCCATCGTTGTTGGGAAATGCCCAGCCAGGCAGGTAGGAGAGCTCAAGCAGGGAAGTAGCCTGGAATCATTGCATAGCCACAAGGAAGAACCTTGGAATCTTATCTATCTATTCCCAAAGGAAGACAAGCCATCTGGGGAGATTCCTGTATTATAGAAGAATATAGTAAAGTAGTTGGGCAGTGTGGAGGCTCAGGGGTTAAGATGCTGGGCATGTTGGCTAGAAAGTCGGCAACCTAGGTTTGAGATCTGAGCGCCATGCGACAGGGTGAGCTCCTGTCCTCGCTCCAGATCCTGCCAACCTAGCAGTTCAAGAGCATTCAAATGCGAGTAGATAAATAGGTACCACTTGGGTGGGAAGGTAACAGCGCTGACATCATGCTGGCCACGTGACCGCGGAAATGTCTTCAGATAGCGCTGGCTCAATAGCATTGAAATGGAGATGAGCTTAGAGCAGTGATGTCGAACCTTTTAGAGACCGAGTGCCCAAACCGCAACCCAAACCCACTTATTTATCGCAAAATGCCAGGGGTGCATCAGCATTGTGGTGCCCTCGGGGGGAGGGGCAGGGAGGCGCCTCTGAGTGCCACCTCTGGCACACAAAAACCAGGGGTGCACAAATGGGCCACCATGCTGCAAGGTGCAAAAAAATGGCCGCCGCCACGCTGCGGGGTGCAGATACAAGGCACTGCACCACACAAGAACGGGGCAGGGCTAGTGAGTATCACACAGGCATTAGCCCTGCCCCATTTGCAGCATGTGCATGCTCACGGCCCCATGCGTGCACGCACACATGTAAAATGCTTCCCCCTCCCTTTTCTTCCAGTCCGCCAATCGACAATGGTTGGTGACCTCTGCTCTACCACCTCTACTCGAGTTTGCTAGTTGGCCGCTTTGTCTCCTTTGTGCTGGGCGGGGCTCCAGCTCTGGGCGGCGGTGGCGGCCTGATGGACCTGCATGTGCCAACAGAGAGGGTTCTGAGTGCCGCCTCTGGCACGCGTGCCATAGGTTCACCACCACTGGCTTAGAGTCAGCAACAACTAACAGAATAAAATCCATAGGGACTCCTTTTTTTTTTAAAGTACTGTTGTTAGCTTGAATTATACCTATGGGGATCTGGTGGCTTGTGTTTGATAACTGTGCACAATGGATTGGCTTAACAACTGCCACGTTCGCTTTATGGCCACGGTGATTCATTTAATCATCGCCACAAAAAAGGTTTTAAAATCAGGTATGGTCAACATGGTGACCCACTGAATAAGCAGAATGACTTATAAACATAATTCCAAGCTCAATTATGGTCATAAGCCAAGGACTACCTGTACTGTTGTAGCAGAAACAGAGTAAAGTGTTGTTTTACATGGCAGCCGATATGAATGATGCAAGTTCACACAAGCTGTGAGCATACTAAGAATATAAAAAAAAGCACCCTGCAGGATCAGGCCATGTAACATATTTCGTCTCTCACTCTAGTGACCAAGCAGATGTTGATAGGAAGCAAAAATCAAATTCAAAATGATTCTTAGCAAGTGAATGAAGTGGAATTAAAGCAGAAAGGAACCCGAATCATTCATATAAATTACGTTACTCGCTTTTCATTATAAACATATCTCCTTTCTTTACCTGTCAAAGGGAACCGAGTAGGTGACCCACAGCTCTTTTACTTCACCAGACATAGCCAGAAAGAGTGGCTCTGACATATCTTCAATGCTACAGCACAAGACTAGGTCATTCAGCTTATCCTAAGAAGGAGAACGGCACTTGGTTTCAGCACAAACAATATTGAACGCAGCACTATTGAGGGACAGGGATAAGCCTGCTGAATTAGCTCACCAGCTTAACTAGAGAATCCTTGGCCCTTAGGGCCAAAAGCAGCATAGTTAACAAAACAACAAGAGTTGGAAGGGACCTTGGAGGTCTTCTAGTCCAACCCGTTACTCAGGCAGGAAACATGCAGAATATGAAGAGCATGTCTCAAAATCTCTCTGAGTTTTTGCACAAACCAAGAGCTCCCCCCCCCCCGCTACTCAGCTCTCCCCGTTTGAAAATATATTGGAAGTGCTAAAAAAACACCTGTCGTGGTTCCGACTAATGAAACATTTCAAAGAACTTCCAGGCATTTTATCCTAAAAAAGTCTCTTATTTATGTGACAAAATGTCGGCACAGGCATGATGAAAGGCAATGCTAAGATCTGAAATCCCCACCCACTGAGCAGTTATTTTTGCTAGCATTTCCACTCCCTATTTTGCTGTCATGATTTACGTTCTCCAATTAGTGTGAAGGGCAAAGGTTCCCTTCCTTTCCCTTTCCCGGGCTTTTCCCTCCTCCCTCCTTCTCCTCTGCATTAACTCTAAAAATACCAGACAGTTCTGGCATATTTTGTGAAAGCAAAAATATTCAATATTAGCAGCGTTGACAACACCCACTTCTCAGAAGACAACCTGGTAAAGTTTGGCACCTCCTTCGCCTTCCCAAGTTTACTGTCTCTCATTTCCATTTACCTGTTTCTTTTACTGGGAAGATGTGCGCCTTTTCAAACAAGGCCTTGGGCTCTTAAGGGTTTGCCATTTTCATTTTCTAAGAACACCCCAGAAAACTACACGGAACTCAGAAGCATTTGTGAGCTGAGGAACCTTCTCACCCCAATGGGATGGGTCCGCCCCACTTGCGCCAGCAGAGCAGCATGCTGCAGACTCTGTTCATCAGGAAGAGCCGTGGTGGCACAGAGGTTACAATGCAGTATTGCAGGGCAGACTCTGCCAACTGCCAGGAGTTTGATCCTGACGGGACTCAAGGTTGACTCAGCCTTCCATCTTTCCGAGGTCAGTAAAATTGTTGGGGACAATAGGCTGATTCTGTAAACCGCTTTGAAAGGGTTGCAAAGCACTATAAAGGATTCTCTAGTTACAAGTCTAAGTGCTATTGCTATCTCTCTCTCTCTCTCTCTCTCTCTCTCTCTCTCTCTCTCTCTCTCTCTCTCTCTCTCTCCCTACCTACTTATCTATCTACCTACCTATCTACCATCTATCTATCTATCTATCTATCTATCTATCTATCTATCTATCTATCTATCTATCTAATCTATTGATCTATCTATCTATCTATCTATCTATCTATCTATCTATCTATCTATCTATCTATCTATCTATCTATCTATCTATCTATCTATCTACCTACCTACCTACCTACCTACCTACCTACCTACCTACCTACCTGAATGAATCTGAATGAGGACCCCGATTGTTGCAGGCAATAGGCTGACTCCGTAAACTATTTAGAGAGGTCTGTAAAGCATTGTGAAGCAGTATAAAAGTCTAAGTACTATTGCTATCAAAGAATTCTGCCTGGTGGAGTCCAAGAGAAGAGCCTTCTCTGCTATAACTCCCAAATTCTGGAACATCATGCCCCTCAAGGTAACATTTGCCCCCAATCTATTGGCCTTTTGGGAGGGTCTCAAAACCTGGCTCTGCTGATTAGCCTAGGCCAGGGATAGGCAACCTTGGCTCTTTTATGACTCGTGGACTTCAACTCCCAGAATTCCTGAGCCAGCATGGCTCAGCATGGAAACCTCTCCCTTTCCCCTCAGCATGGCTGGCTCAGGAATTCTGGGAGTTGAAGTCCACGAGTCATAAAAGAGCCAAGGTGGCCTACCCCTGGCCTAGGGTCCCAATAGGGGCGATCCATAGTGGAGTGGTTGGTTAGTGGATTAAAAAGAAGACCTCCCTGTTGCATACTGGTTCCCATTGTAGCTATTTTTTTTCTTAATTTTAATGTTAATATTTAATGATTTTCAGGTAGTCCTCAACTTACAATCGTTCATTTAGTGACCCTTCAAAGTTACAACAGTACTGCAAAAAGTGACATGACCATTTTTCATGCTTATGACCATTGCAGCATTCCCATGGCCACGTGATTTACAATCAGATGCTTGGCAACTGGTTCATATTTATGACAGTGGCAGTGTCCCAGGGGTTATGTGATCCCCTTTTGCAACCTTCTGATAAGCAAAGTCAATGGGGAAACCAGATTCACTTAACAACCGTGTTGCTAACTTAACAATTGCAGTGATTCACTTAACGAATGTGGCAAGAAAAGTCATAAAATGGGACAAAACTCAGTTAACAAACATCTCACTTAGCAACATAAATTTTGGGCTCGAATTATGGTCGTAAATTGAGGACTACCTGTTAAAGTCTAATCCGTAAGTCAATATGTTTCCATTAATTTTTTAAAAGTGTAATTAACAGTATCCTGAAAAATGCAAAATAAACTTGGGGGCAGGACCCAGAGTTTATCTAGCTTAGCAGAGTCTTCCCTGTTTCTAGAGTAGATCTTCCCACGTCAACAGACTGCTCACCCACAAGCCATGATTTCAACCGCAATCTCTCATCACCTTTGTTAGCTATAACATGAAGGGAACCATTTTAGAAGCAATTTTGCCACAAAGACAGAAGATACGTATTAATGTATTTCTGAGAGCCAGTTTGATAATAGTGCTTAAGACTGGAAAGCAGGAGACCCCGAGTTCTAGTTACGCCATGGCGTGACTGTGGGCCAGTCCCTTTTAGCCCGACTCACTTCACAAGTTGTTGTGGGGAAAATAGAAGGAGGGAAGTGTGCTATTCTCCAGAGCGCCTGAAGGCAGGACAAGGAGCAACGGGTGGAAACTAACCAAGGAGAGAAGCAACCTAGAACTAAGGAGAAACTTCCTGACAGTGAGAACAATTAACCAGTGGAACAACCTGCCTCCAGAAGCGGTGAATGCTCCAACACTGGAAGTTTTTAAGAAGAGACTGGACAGCCATTTGTCCAAAATGGTATAGGGTTTCCTGCCTGAGCAGGGGGTTGGACTAGATGACCTCCAAGGTCCCTTCCAACTTTATTATTATTATTATTATTATTATTATTATTATTATTATTATTATTATTATTATTATTATTATTATTATTATTATATCTTTGCTGCCTTGAGTTATACGTAAATAATAAAAGTGGGATGCAAATCTTTTCTCCAACCTCCCACCTTATCTGCAATACTCTATCAACCCTGTAAAATAAAATACGAGAATTTAAACAGAATAATAAAATACAAAAAGAAGTTTAGAAACACAGGCAGGTGCAGCACGTCCAGCCAGTGTGAAAGAGAAGTGGGCTGGCTGGAAAAGACTGAAACAGCAAATGTGAAGCACCTCTGCATGTTGAGAGGCAATTATTTCCAAGAAAATTAACCTTCTTATTATACGTCATCACCACACAGAACTCCTTCTTCTCATTTGGGCCCAAAACTCCATTTTCTGGGGAGACGCTCAGCAGACACGAAGACCCCTGACTTCCAAGCAGCTGTTGAGAAAATCAAGATGGCAGATCATGTAACAGGAGGCCAAGGAGGGATCCTCCAGATTGGCTGTGAACACCACGACCCACCCACTTACCTCTCCCCATTTAAAGGGTGTGGGGAGCAACGTCTGGTTGAAAAGGTGGACTGTTGCCTCTGCGGGGATCCCAGTGGCAAGTTTGAAGTGTAAGTGACTCGGCAGCAGACACACCTGGGGCACCTGCACCTCCACAGATACAGGGATGTGGCTGGAAAGAGAGTTGAGTGCTCAATCATCATCAATGTTGGGCTACCAGCCTCGGGTTGAGAGGACCAGATCCAATGTGTCTGAATCCTGGCCACTTGATGTGTGAACCTCTGCATAGCTAGCTGGGAAATTCTGGGAGTTGAAGTTCTCACATCTTCAAGTGGACAAATTCTGACCCAGGACAAACCAAGGGCTTTCAGGAAGGGTTACAGGCTGAATATACAGGTAGCCCTCGACTTACGACCCACAACTGAGCCCAGAATCTATGTTGCTAAGTGAAAAAATTGTTAAGTGAGTTTTGCCCCAATTTATGATTTTCCTTGCCACATTTTTTAAGTGAATCACTGCAATTGTTAAATTAGTAACACGGATGTTAAGTGAATCTGGCTTCCCCTGTTGATTTTGCTTGTCAGAAGGTTGCAAAAGGGGAACCCCCGGGACACTGCAAACATCGTAAATGTGAACCAGTTGTCAAGCATCCAAATGTAAATCACGTGACCATGGGGATGCTGCAACAGTCGTAAGTGTGAAAAATGGTCATAGATCACTTTTTTTCTGTGCCGCTGTAACTTTGAACGGTCATTAAATAAACTCTTGTAAATTGAGGACTACCTATATATATATATAATCCTCCTTTCATTATTTTGTTGCTTTCTCTGCCCTTTTTCCCCATCTTTTATCTACGTTTCTCTAAATTCCTACTTATCGATTCAGCATTTGGTCTGCTTTCTTTTTCAACCCTCTTTCTTTTGTTTCCTGTCTCTTCAGCCTTTTCATTCATTCATTCATTCATTCATTCATTCACTCATTCACTCATTCATTCATTCACCGTTCATCTCGTGGTTCAAAGCAACTCTCAGCTGGGTTATTCATTGGGTGTCTCTTGCCCAAAAGGTTAGTGACTTTCTAGGTCAGGTGACTTGATTGACCAACTTTTGCTATTGACCATTTATTTCATTCAGTGGAGAGAATATTCCTAAACATTTAGTGACATCACCAATTAATGCCAAACAAAATGCCCTAACAAATTACAATTCTGGCAAGTTGGGAATAAAATAAAGACTACATAAATAAATAAATAGTTTTGTTCCTGTTTTCTGGCATTTGCTACTCTTTCACTGTTTTCTATTTTATTTTAATAAGTTGTTTTTTGCTTATAAGCCACCCAGAGTCATTTGGGAATCTGGTGGCCTATAAATAAAATAAAATAGATGCATAATACAATTCCCATATCTGATACAATCAGAAGAATACAATATATTCAACAGGGGGTTGGACTAGACTAGAAGACCTCCAAGGTCCTTCAGCTCTATTCTGATGGATTGTATAGTATTTAATAAATGGAACACTTATTTTATTAACGCGCTTTCAACGTGGTAGCTAACTTTGCCCCTACTTTCTCTAGAGCGGCTCAAAGATTTTGATCAACTGTATTTTCTGGGGAAATTCAATTCCTAGAAATTGGAATGGCTTCTCTTCCTTTTTCCCATCTTTACCTTCCAACTCCATTTTCCACGTCCATCTCTAATACAGTTTGGAGATGATGACATGTATACGAAGTAAACGAAACCGAGACAAGACATTTACCCAGAGGATTCAGTTCCCCACTAGAAGGCTGAATTTTGAAGGCCGAAACCTGCAGAAAGAAAATTTGAGTGCTAATGTAATCCAGAATCCTCCAGGCTGGGTGGGGAATGAATGGGACACACTGTTCAAACAATCCAGAATACAGGTAATCCTCGACTTACGGCCACAACTGAATCCAAAATTTCTGTTGCTAAGGGAGACATTTTTAAAGTGAGTTTTGCCGCATTTTACGACTTTTCTTGCCACAGTTAATAAGTGAATCACTGCAATTTGCTAAGTTGGTGACACGGCTGTTAAGTGGCTTCCCCCATTGACTTGGCTGGTCAGAAGGTCGCAAAGGGGGATCACAAGATCCCTAGATGCTGCAACTGTCATAAATACGAGTCAGTTGCCAAGTGTCTGAATTTGGATCGTGTAACCATGGGGATGTCGCAAAGGTGGTAAGTGGTGAAAAACGGTCATAAGTCACTTTCCAGAAGCGGTGAATGCTCCAACACTGGAAGTTTTTAAGAGTCTGGACAGCCATTTGTCCGAAATGGTGTAGGGTTTCCTGCCTGAGCAGGGGGTTGGACTCGATGACCTCCAAGGTCCCTTCCAACTTTATTATTATTATTATTATTATTATTATTATTATTATTATTATTATTATTATTATTATTATTATTATTATTATTATTATTATTATTATTATTATTATTATTATGGATCATCGCACAGTCAGCCAGACGTTCAGACTGGATTTGGCATTTTGTTTACCTATCGAGTCCTTACCCAGGACCTGGGATAGGCAGATGTGGATGTTTGATGGTATTACAGATATCCTCGCAGGATGGAAGCAGTTCCTAGTAAGGCCGCCTTTTGCAATTGACTAATAGCGAATTTGTCAATGCCAATGGTGTTCAAGTGGTGTTCCAGTTGTAATAATAATAATAATAATAATAATAATAATAATAATAATAATAATAATAATAATAATAATAATAATAATAATAATAATAATAATAATAATAATAGTAGTAGTAGTAGTAGTAGTAGTAGTAGTAGTAATAGTAATAATAGTAATAATAAATGAATTGTTGTAAGTCGAGGACTACCTATATCAGGTTGAGGAAATTTTGACTAGTCTTCTGCATTACAGAGCTTTCCAACTTAAACCCGTGTCCAGCCATAGGGTATCCAAATGACACTGGAGAAGGAAAAGGTAGTGGGGAATCTCTTGGCTGTGATCTGGCAACTGATTGGTCAGTAAAACAGACCACAGATTTAGGGAAATGAGCAACATTACCTCCTCGGCCCTTTCTGCTATGCAGCTAAGTCTTTCCTGCATTTTCCATTTTCCTGGCAGCTGACTTAAGTTTTCTATTTCCAAAACACGCGTCACTTTTTCTCCCAGTTTAATCAAACCCATATCGATGGATATCACGTCAATGGAAAGAAGAGGCCCCTAGGGAAAAGTAGGTCAATTACATGTTGAAAGAAACTTTTTATTATTATTATTATTGACATTTCTTTCTTTTTTTGTGTGAAGTATACGATTTCTCTCAGGGCTGTCTGCAGGGTATGGTCAAAAAAAGTCAAGAGGGTGGCCACGATGGCACAACCAAAGCTCTGACCGTTTTTTCATATGTGTAACTGTCATCTTGAATTTTTTTGGAACAAATCTTGAGGACAATTCTGTCCCAGAGTTTTACCTTACCCTCCATTTCTTGGCATGCCACAGGACTTGGAAGCTGGCCAGAAAAGCAGACCATTCTTGGAGAGGACTGCATAGAGAACTGCAGAATCCGTTTAGGTTTAGGTTTAGCTTTAGGTTTAAGACAACGCAATCTACTTTCCAGTATTGTGAACCAGAAGGGGCACATGGTTTCTACATTTTGCTTTGATCTAAAAGGTTCTAAGCTATATACATAAAGAGCAACAGTAATACAGTACCAATGCAGGTAAAGATAAAAATAAACATAAACTCTAAAAATGCAATTCCAGGGCAAATATCCTAAAACAGATTATGTACTAGTATCAAGTTGCTGCCTTTTTCCAATCCTCAGGTACTTCCCCAGTGCTCCAGGATCTTTGAAAGATATGGTGCAATGGTTCTGAGATGACATCTTCCAGCTCCTTCAGAACTCTGGGATGTAATCCATCAGGTCCCGGTGATTTATATTTGTCAAGGTCGGATAGGTGTTCTCTGACTATTTTCTTGCTTATTTTAATTTTTATTTCTAGTCTGTCTTTTACAGTTATGTTTTAGGCAGGTTGGTCTGTAGTTTCTTTTTGCATGAAGATCGATGCAAAGAACTGCCTGTTATTTCTTTGTCATCATTTCCCATTAGTGGACCGATTATTTCATTTATTTTTTTTCTTTGTTGTTGTTAGTTGCGAAGTTGTGTCCGACCCATCGCGACCCCATGGACAACGTTCCTCCAGGCCTTCCTGTCCTCTACCTTCTTCTGGAGTCCATTTAAGTTCCCGCCTCCTGCTTCAGTGACTCCATCCAGCCACCTCATTCTCTGTCATCCCCTTCTTCTATTGCCCTCCATCTTTCCCAGCATCAGGCTCTTCTCCAGTGAGTCCTTCCTTCTCATTAGGTGGCCAAAGTACTTGAGTTTCAACTTCAGGATCTGGCCTTCTAAAGAGCAGTCAGGGTTGATCTCCTCTAGGACTGACCGGTTGGATCGCCTTGCAGTCCAGGGGACTCGCAGGAGTCTTCTCCAGCACCAGAGTTCAAAGGCCTCCATTCTTTGGCGCTCAGCCTTTCTTATGGTCCAACTTTCACAGCCGTACACTGCAACTGGGAAAACCATGGCCTTGACTCTACGCACTTTTGTTGGCAGGGTGATGTCTCTGCTTATTTAGTATGCTGTCTAGATTTGCCATAGCTTTCCTCCCCAGGAGCAAGCGTCTTTTAATTTCTTGGCTGCAGTCCCCATCTGAGGTGATCTTGGAGCCCAGGAAGATAAAATCTGTCATTACCTCCATTTCTTTCTTTTTTTCTTATATTTTGAAATAAACTTTTTTATTATCTTTGATATTTTGTTGCAAGTCTTACCTCATTCTGGGCCTTAGCTTTCCTGAGTTCATCCTTTCAGGTTTGGGCTATATGTTGGTATTCTGCTTTAGTTATAGGGTTATCAACTCCTGTAACCAGGTACAGTGGATAGATTTTCCTCCAGGACAAATTGTTCCTAAACACTATCCACTAACATCAAACCAATCATCCATCAGGACCATAAATACTCAATCTCTGAAGCCTTCTGAAATAGCCAGACGTTAACAAGGTTGAAGGATACAAGAATGGCAGCCTCTCAATTCTGTTCCCTCGTTTTTTTTCTCCCTTCTCGATATCAGCACAATAATAAGACATCTCATATATTTAAACCTGGTATTCTTACAAGTGTATAACTAATCCATTCCCGCTGGCCTGAAAATGCGTGATGACAACTCTCAGAATTTATAGTCAAGATAACCATTGGGATGACTATGCTGCCCCAGACAGAACAGATTGCTTTTGGTCCAATTCAGGACAGATAGATAACTCAGAGGAATAAACAGAAAAATATCGCTTTATTCTGGGAATCCTAAACAATGACTTACAGTTATTGTAGAGATACGTCCAAAGTATATTTCAGCAATATTGGTTCATTCCACAGCAGTGGTTCTCAACCTGTGGGTCGGGACCCCATTTGGGGTCGATTGACCATTTCACGGGGGTTGCCAAGCAAGGCTGTCCGCCATTTTTTTTGTCCGCCATTTTTTTCCCCTTTTCCGGCGGGTGCCTTACCTCCCTTGGGCTGGGCCAGCTGGTGGTCAGCCTGCTCCGTCTCTGCCGCTTGCCAGCTACGCCTTGGCCAGCGCAGGGGGCGGAATCACGCATGCGCGGCGCTCGCGGGCAGGGAAAGTCCTCGACTTACGACCGGTTGGGTTTAGTCCTCGACTTACGACCGGTTTAGTCCTTGACTTACGACCAGTTTAGTCCTTGACTTACGACCGGTTTAGTCCTCGACTTATCACCGGTTGGGGTCGCGGCATTAAAAAGGTTGAGAACCACTGTTCCACAGGTAAATTGATGATGGATTTTCCCCTCTTCTTCTGCATAAGCATCACATGTTGGCATAGGACCTCCAAGCCGTGTGGCTAGGAGACATGAGGCTGGATGAAACAAAGGCCTTCCAAACTGGGCACGTAGCCAGTATGTCCTGAGAAGAGTTCAGAGGCTCCTCCTACTACTGACCTGTTAACATGGGATGACTGACTAACTAAACTACATTTCCCATAATCCATCTCTTAAGGAAACAGCACTTAACTCAGTAAATGCCAGATATTCTAACATACAGATACATGCTCTCTAGTTAGGGTTACATAGAGCTGTATGAGCCAGAACAATGACGCTGTGAAAATTCACCTGAGGCGAAAGCTGGGGAAGACATTCCTACCTTAAAGTCAGCCTCAACGTACAAAGCGACAGGCTCCTCTGAGTGAGTGATTTCACACTGTAGCTTGTGACAGGAATGGCCCGGTTTCCCTCCCGTGATCACAAACTCAAACTCACGACTTCCGCCTGCATCTAGAAAAGACAAATCTGTTACTCTTATCTGCAAAATAAAAATAAAAAATGGATTTTTATAAAAGCCAACAATTTTCCCCGAAATAAAATCAATACCCCACGACGCCCCTTGACTATTTAACAGAAAATAACAGAATAACAAGAGTTGGAAGGGACCTTGGAGGTCATCTAGTTCCCCCCGCCGCCGCCTGCCTCCTGCTCAGGCAGAAAACCTTATACCTTTCTACAGAAAACAGTTGTTCAAGCTCTTCTTAAAAACCTCCAGTTCTGGAGGCAGGTTGTTCCACTGGTTAATTGCTCTCAATGTCAGGAAGTTTCTCCTTAGTTCTAGGTTGCTTCTCTCCTTGATTGGTTTCCATCCGTTGCTTCTCATCCTGTCTTCAGCTGCTTTGGAGAATAGGTTGACTCCCTCTTCTTTGGGGCAGCCCTTCGAAACACTGCTACCATATCACCCCTGGCCCTTCTTTTCATTAAAGTAGACATACCCAATTCCTACAACCATTCTTCCTATGTTTTATCCTTCAGGCCCCTAATCAACTTTGTTGCTCTTCTCTGCACTTTTTCTAGAGCCTCAACATCTTTTTTATATCATGGCGACCAAAACTGGATGCCGTATTCCATGTGTGATCTTTCCAAGTTTCCTTATTTTAATTTTATTACAGCCAACAATAAAAAGATATTTTACCTAGCGTTCCAAATGAAGGTTCAACTTCCACTATGTCGCAGTCAAAGATTTTCCCCCATCCAAATGTGATGGCAGAGTTGCTATTGTTAAGCATCTACAATTCCAGAAACGAAGGAGCAATTAATCCCCTCATACAGGATAAAAGTCTTCGTTTTCACTTAATTGAAACACAAGTAGTACTTGAGTTTAGGACCAGAATTTCCATTGCTAAGCAAGACGGTTGTTAAGTGAGTCACTTTTTATCACCTTTGTTGCCGTGGTTGTTAAATGAATAATTGCAGCTGTTAAGTGAATCATGCAGTCATTAACTGAATCCAGCTTTCCCCACTGAGTCTGCTTTTCTTTGGGAAGATCGCAAAAGGGGATCACATGCAACCATCGTAAATACACATTGGTTGCCAAGCACCAAAATTTTGATCACATGACCATGCAGATGTTACGGTGGTTGTAAGTACAAAGGCCAAGAATAAGTTCATTTTTCAAAAGCCATTATAACTTCAAACAATCGCTAAATCAAGTCGAGGACTACCTGTATGTAAAACATATTTTCCAGCAGCCCTAACAACAAATAAATATTTTGTACAAGCTGTTGTGGTCTATATTCCACTATATTAGATATGGAGTACAGGCAGCTCTTGACTTACGACCACAACTGAGCCCAAAATTTATGTTGTTAAGTGAGACATTTGTTAAAAGTGAGTTTTGCCTCATTTTGCGATCTTTCTTGCCAAAGTTGTTAAGGGAATTGCTGCACTGGTTAAGTGAGTCACATGGTTGTTAAGTGAATCTGGCTTCCCCATTGACTTTGCTTGTAGGAAGGTCGCAAAAGGGGATCATGTGACCCTGGGGCACTGCGACCGTCATAAATATGAACCAGCTGCCAAGCACCTAAATTTTGACCCTGGGGATGCTGCAAAAGTTGTTAACTGTAAAAAACAACCATAAGTCACATTTTTCAGTACTGTTGTAACTTTGAATAGTCACTAAACAAATTGTTGTAAGTCAAGGACTACCTGTATTACCCTGAGGTAAGCTTATACAGATGACAGTATAGAAGTACTCTCAATTAAAGGAGAGATCAGGAAGATATGAACAAAGAAGAAATAAACAGCAATAAATTACTTATAGAGAATAATAACTATTCAAAAAGCCATTCCTTAGATGTGATATAAGCCAGGGGTCTCCAACCTTTCTGGGTTGGCAGCCCAGAGGGAGAGGGAGGGGTAGGTGCCTTACGCATGCATGCAGAAACGCAAATGTGGCCACACGTGCGTGTGTGCATTCAAATAGGCCACGAACATGCTCACCACGCAAACGGGGCTGTGAGCACGCACGCAAGGCTCTCAGCGATGCCAGTGCCTGTGTGAGGCTTGTGATGCCAAGGCGATGCGAGGATCACGCCCCTCCGAGGTCCACAGTGATGCCGCCACTGATGCGAGGGTCACGCCGATGCCCTGTGCAAGGCTTGCGCTGCAGCCTGCCTGCCGCTTGTGGCACTGCCACAGCCCGCACAAGCTTTGTGGCAATGCCACCACCCACACAATAGTAGCGGCACTGCTGCCACCTGCACAACACTCGCGGCAATGGTGGCATGAGGGAGGGTGAGCATGCACACACGCGCACATGCATTGCCTAGCTACTCACACGGCCTGGTGGCCAAAAGGCCAAGGCCCAGGTAGTGGGCTGCAGCCCATAGGTTGGGGACCTCTGATATAAGTAATTGTCCGGCCTTAAGAAATCGGGACTCGGGATAGAGTTCAAAAGCGCTATGAGTTTATTCCATTCTATCTGTGCCCAAGCATCTGATCTTGTCAGGGCAAATTGGCACTAAATAAGAGTCTACCCTCGTGCTCAGCCTGGGCATCACCTATAATCAATCTTGCAACCAAGAAATCTTTGTGTCGAACTAAGATTAGATCTCCATAACTTAAATTGATAACATGAATTTAATTTAATTGATGCAGGATTGTAATGTAAGTGAGAAATACAGAAGGAAAAGAAAAAGCAAACTCGGGCAATCGTCAAATTATCTATCAGGTTTAAAGGTTTCCCAATATTTTTTCCTCAACTTACAACAGTGTGTTTAGTGACCGTTCAAAGTTACAACAGCACTGACAAAAGTGACTTAGGATTGCTTTTCACACTTACGACCGTTGAGGCATCCCATAGTCATGTGATCAAAATTCAGATGCTTGGCAAATGACTCATATTTATGACGGTTGCAGTGTCCCGGAGTCATGGGATCACTTTTTGGGACCTTCTGCCAAGCAAAGTCAATGGGGAAGCCAGATTCGCTTAACAACCATGTCACTAAATTAACAACTGCAGTGTTTCATTTAACAAATGTGGCAGAAAGGTCATAAAGCGGGACAAAATTCACTCAACAAATGTCCCGCTTAGCAACAGAAATGTCGGGTTCCATTGTGGTCGTAAGCCAAGGATTATCTGTAATATAGAGGGAGCATTCTTTTACAGATGAAGTGATACACTCAATCCCCAAACTGGGCATGGAGGCAGAAGAAAATTTACCTCAAATGTTCTCCTAATATTCACACCAATGTAGTTTTCTCCTGGGATGATCATAGCAGAAGGATTTAACAAGATCTGAAATGGTTCCGTGGAGCCTTTGCTGTCAATTTCTAAGACAATCACATCTTCCTTTCGCCGTTCTCCGTTTTCATAATACTCTGAATTGTGGATACTGCATAAAAAAATAAGCTTAAAATGGCTCTTGGCAAGATATCCCAGCATCAACAGGACAAATTTTTCCTTTAATAGAAACTGGACTTGCATGATGGTAGTTTCACGGAAGTACTAACAACCTTTAAAAAAGATACACCCCAAATAAGAACTTTCTCGGTTTGTTTTTATTGCTATCGTGTATACCAAAATGGAAAGAGGGAGGAATATAAGAAAACTTTCATAGAAACACAAAGCTGTGTCTATGTACCCAAACAAAAATAAACAAGAAACAAGCAAAATATGTAAATGTATTACAGCAGATATACAAAAGGGGCTTTCTCCAAACAAGAATTGCCCACAGAGAATTGTGCTGCTCACTTTTTCCACTGTACTGATAGAGAGCCGGTTCAAAAGTCTACAAAGATTCTCAGTCATCCAGATCAGGGCTTTTCAACCAGTGGTACGGGTACCACCTGTGGTACATTGGCACCTGGCAAGGTGGTACGCGACCATCCTAGAAAAGTGGTAGCGGGGGAGGGGAATGAGCTGAACTGGTGGCAGCATCGCATAAGCCTGAGCGAGAGACGGCTGGAGCTGCAGGGCTGTCGGGGCTCAGGGGAAGCGCCAGGATCAGTGCCAGGCTCCAGCTGGAAAGCAGCACTGATCCTGGCGCTTCTGCTGAGCCCAGAAGAAGCGCCAGGATCAGCTGGAATGTTGCAGCCTCTCCAGGGTCTTGTGATTTACATTCAGATGCTTGGCAACCGATTCATATTTATGACGGTCACAGTGTCCCAGGGTCATGTGAAGTGACCAAAACCTGCTGCAACCACCCAGCAGACGGGTGAAATAAAAACCAAACACCCCCCACCCCACCCCCGCTGCCAATCCTCAACAGAAATGCTCACAACAATGAAAACCTCAGACAGGAGGAAGAGCGCCACCGGGTGGGCAGGCAGGTGTCTTGCTCGGCTGTGACTTGGGGGGGCACTTTTTTCAGTGCCATTGTAACTTTGAACAGTCACTAAGCGAACTGTTGTAAGTCGAGGACTACCTGTACTTAATCACTTTTTTCCTTTTTTGGTCAAGTTTTTGACACCTTGCTAGGCGACTGGTGGTACTTAGATATTGCCATATCCTAAAAGTGGTACAATGGGCGAAAAGGTTGAAAAGCCCTGATCCAGATCATAGTTGGATCGAAAGTGGTTGTTATTTTTCAAAAATAAAAACCGTTTTTGACATAACCGGTTCAAAAGTTGAGGACAAACACATCTGTTTCATTGATTTTTATCTCACTTTTATTACTTTACAAATAACTCAAGGCAGCAAACATATGCAACACACCTTCTTCCTCCTATTTTCCTCACAACAACCCTGTGAGGTGGGTTGGGCTGACAGGGAGAGACTGGCTCAGTCACCCAACTGGTTTTCATGCCTGAGGAGGGACTAGTACACACCATCTCCTAGCGCAGGGGTAGGCAGCTTTGGCTCTTTTATGACTCATGGACTTCAACTCCCAGAATCCCTGAGCCAGCCATGCTGAGGGGAAAGGGAGAGTTTCCAAGCTGAGCCATGCTGGCTCAGGAATTCTGGGAGTTGAAGTCCACCAGTCATAAAAGAGCCAAGGTTGCCTACCCGTTTAGTGGTTGGCCCAAAGACATCCAGTCAGTTTTCATGCCTATGACACAACTAGAAGTCACTACTTCCTGGTTTCTAGGCCACACTTTAAGCCAGGGGTGTCTTCAAACTTGGTCCTTTTATGACTCATGGACTTCAACTCCAAGAATTCCTCAGCCAGGCACGCAGGCTGAGGAATTCTGGGAGTTGAAGTCCACGAGTCATAAAAGAGCTGAGTTTGAAGACCCCTGGTTTAAGCGCTATACCAGACTGACTCCATCCTCTCTTCTACTGCCCAAGAAAAATTGTTCTGTCTCTTAAGTTTTGCATTTCTGATTAGGAGTAAACCTCACTAACCGTTTTAGAACTGTCTTTCAAGCAGACACAACAGGACTAAACGATAAGACATATTCTTGTTTCCCTTTCCAGGGATCAGAACGAGGGGCTAGCAGGACATGGAGAGGCAAGCAGGAGAACAGAACATGCTAAGGTCCTTTCCTCTCACCTTTACATTCAGAGATTATGGCCTCCAAGAATGCATAAAATGAGTTAATTGGCCAGCCTTTGCCCGGTTTTAAATATCAAGCTAGTAGATGAATGTACAGTTCTGCCTAGTCAGAATATGGCATAGGTTTCGTTTCATTTTGACAAAATTCATCCTAAAATTTCTGATGCTAAGTGAGACATTTGTTAAGTGAGTTCTGCCACATTTTTCGACCTTTCTTGCCACAGTTGTTAAGTGAACCACTGCGGTTGTTAAATTAGTAACACGGCTGCTGAATGAATCTGGCTTCCCCATTGACTTTGGTTGTCCCAGAAGGTCTCTGGGACACTGCAACCGTCATAAATGTGAGTCAGTTGCCAAGCACCTGAATTTTGATCACGTGACCACAGGGATGCTGCCACGGTCATGTGAAAAACGTTCATAAGTCATTTTTTTGTGTTGTAACTTTGAATGGTCACTAAATGAACTATTGTAAATTGAGGAGCAAACAAAAAAGCAGAGACATCACCCTGCCAACAAAAGTGTATATAATCAAGGCCATGGTTTTCCCAGTTGCAATGGATGGCTGTGAAAGTTGGACCATAAGAAAGGCTGAGCACCAAAGAATGGAGGCCTTTGAACTCTGGTGCTGGAGAAGACTCCTGCGAGTCCCCTGGACAGCAAGGCGATCAAACCGGTCAGTCCTAGAGATCAACCCCGACTGCTCTTTAGAAGGCCAGATCCTGAAGTTGAAACTCAAGTACTTTGGCCACCTAATGAGAAGGAAGGATTCACTGGAGAAGAGCCTGATGCTGGGAAAGATTGAGGGCAATAGAAGAAGGGGACGACAGAGAATGAGGTGGCTGGATGGAGTCACTGAAGCAGTAGGCGGGAGCTTAAATGGACTCCAGAAGAAGGTAGAGGACAGGAAGGCCTGGAGGAATGTTGTCCATGGGGTCGCGATGGGTCGGACATGAGTTCGCAACTAACAACAAAGTCCTTGATTTGTGACTGGCTGCTTAGTGACCATTCAAAGTTACCATGGACCTCTCCAGGATTACTTATGACCCATATTTGAAACTCCAATGGCCACAATCCACTTCAGTCAGCTGATCACATTTGGGGCATTCAGGAAACAGTTCCTATTTATGACTGTTTGTAGCACCCACATGACTGCGATTTACGTTTTTTGCCGGAAACTGGGATTTACTCCCAGTTTCCAGGAAAAACCACCCGTTGTAGAAAATGGGTTCACTTAACAGCCACAATAAAAAAAGGTAGTAAAATCGGGAAACAGTCACATGGTAATCTGCTTAGCAACTGGCATTAGATGGGACCATAATTCCAGGCTCAAATACAGTCGTAAGCTGAGGACGACCTGTAGTCCAATTGGCCAAGAATATCAAAATAGGTAATTAATCCTCTGAGGTTCCAGATCAGAATTGCATCGTGAAAACTTACGAATGTGATTCTGGGATATCCTCCAGCACTATTTGAAGCACACTATGGTATTTCTTTAGCTATAACAGGAAGAAAATAGTGGATAGTTTATACACAAAGAACTTTCATATATATATATTGCTTACTTTAAGGGAACTCGTCACAGAGACAGAGTAGTAAATATTTATCAAGGTTGAAGCAGTTTATCTTTGAAGTTGGGATTTAAGACTGGGAGTAAATCTGCACAGCACCCCTTAATTCTGAGACTTCTTCAAGTGTCTTGCTAGTATCTATGACTTCCCACAACTAAGGCAATCCAAACTGCTTTGGAAGTGGAAGTGTATTTCCTTTCATGATTCTGCCTCACAATATTGCAGGACATGCTCTGCACCAGAAATCTTGTGACTCCAATTGTTTCTGCTCTATCCTCCTTTAATCTGCTCCCTTTGTCCACCCCTGGGGTCGGTTCTGCCTGCAAAGGAGACCAGGACCTCCAGCAACTACTGGTTTGTTTGTTTTTCCCTTTTTCAAAATGGGTCAGTAGAGTGCTGGGTCTGGAGAGTGGGAAGCTTTGAAAATGAACAGCCACGCCAGGTTTAACTGGAAGTGTTATCGAAAAGGATCTGACTCTTGCAAAGAGTTCCTTCTGCAAAAGTTATCAACAGATTAATGGGTTAAACCAGACATGTCAAACACAAGGCCTGGGGGCCGGATGCGGCCCACGAAGTGGTTTCATGTGGCCCGCGAAGCCATCCTGGAAACAGTTAGGGAACGGCCCCCACTGCCTTGGCCCTGGCCCAGACCGGCCGGGAGCCAATGTACAATTTTGCAGTGGCCATCTATGCTGTAATGCATTCAGTCTTAGTTCCACAAGGCCGTCCAGAAACAGCGAGGAACCGGCCCCTGCCATGTTGGCCCCACCCCCTGGGTGCATGCTGGGGAGGTGTCACCCTTTGTGAGGAATGAAGAAATGGACCATCGCCTGGAAGTGCCAGCAAATGTCCCTCGCCTACTTCACATATCCGGCTTGATGGGCTCCGGGGGAGGGGTTTCGGCAGGCAGTGGGGCGAACGATGTAGAACTGGCCATACCCACCCAATAGGCCACACCCACTCCATCCATGCCCACCCAGCAGGCCGGACCCACCCTGGCCACACCCACCCGGCCCCCCAAGGGCAACCGCAATGCTGATGCGGCCCTCAATGAAATTGAGTTTGACACCCCTGGATTAAACCTTCCAACAGAATGAATGAAAAACAAGCATGTGGAAACTGTTTGGGACAGGATGATGGGTTAGGGTTCCTTTGTATATATATGTGCATATGTTTGGTATTTAAATTCAAGTTTATCTTGAATGACATAATTTTGCAAATTATTTATTTATTTTTTTGCAAAAAAAAAAAGTCGACGCAGAGTCTTTTAAAACGGCCTGGTAGGAAATCATACCTCCTGTGGACAGAAACAGAGGGTGAACGGATGGTCGGAATGGGCTTGCAGAGTCCCAGAATTAGGAACGACGGAGAAAGCGGTCTCTGTGTCCAGGTTGTACTTTATATTTGCAATGTTCATTTTTCCTTCCAGGGTTAGTGACTGCAGGTTGGGCTTCACTATTTGCCAGAAGTAAGGAAGTTCTACGTGGCTGTACAAAGACAATAAGAAATTAATTCATTGACAGCTGTCCTTTCCTTGAAAGCTTCCAAGGTAAGAAATGGAATAAAACTCTTAAGTTAAATATTTGATAAAGGAGAATATTTGTAGCTGAGGGATGAAATGAGAGATCCTTGGTGCTCTCTGAGCTTGGCTGTTTTCTTTGCAGACTCGGGAGTCATTGATGCATCCCAAACAGGATACATGAAAAAGAATAGCTAGTCTGAATTTCCCAACCATCTTGGATTCAGCATCACCTTTGTAAATAGGAAAGAGGATCTGCTTTATTCAAAACTATAAACTCCTCTGAATGAAAGAGATGTATAATATCCCCAGGCAAGGAGTTTCTGCCTATAAGTAAGCTACTTTGGACCATGTATTTGACCAGGGGGTCTTCAAACTTGGCCCTTTTATGACTTGTGGACTTCAACTCCCAGAATTCCTCAGCCAGCGTCCACAAGTCATAATAGGGCCAAGTTTGAAGACCCCTGTATCTGACAGTTAAAAGCCATTTAACTATCCATGTGAGTGCTATAACTATGGGGCTACCTCAGGCTAACTAATGGCCAGTGTCTGCTCTCCCAGAGGAATCCAGCAAGTGGCATTCCTGGCCTCCAAGTTGATTACCTACCTTGATACTCGCAACAAAGCAAGTGAGGCATAAGGCTTGGTCCTCTACCCGTTACCTATCCCTTTCGGCTGGCTTTGCCAAGCATTGATTCGGCGGCCTTCCACAAGCTCTGCCACAGAGCTATGGCTCAAAAGTCTGTTAGCTCCATCATCAAGCTGTGATTCACCCAAGAGAGGAACAGTGACAACAATGTGCTTGTGTTCTGGTTATAGAAAGCCTCAGGTTCCAGACTGCAAGCAGTAAGGCCAGGAAATACCTTGATCTAAAGGGTTTAGAACCTTTCTCAACCTCAGCCAATGTAAGATGGGTGGACTTCAACTCCCAGAATTCCCCAGCCAGATGGCTGGAGAATTGTGGAACTTGAAGTCCATACATCTTACACTAGTGGAGAAACATTGTTTTAGAGCAGGGGTAGGCAACCTTGGCTCTTTTATGACTCGTGGACTTCAACTCCCAGAATTCCTGAGCCAGCCATGCTGGTTGAGGAATTCTGGGAGTTGAAGTCCACAAGTCATAAAAGAGCTAAAGTTGCCTACCCCTGCTTTAGAGGATAGTTATTAACGAATCAGATTGTCCTACAATTTAAATAATGCAGTTCCTGACAGCATTATATACCCAAAGAGACAGTAACACCAATCTTTTCTTCATGGTGACTGGACACATGCCTAACTGGGCTTTCCAGCTACAGACCCTCTTTGATAACTTTTAAAACATTAAGTTCACCATGATGGCATTTACACATGTTTCTTTGTTCAAATTGCCACCTGGCATTTTATTTTTCTTCCACAAAAGTCTGCCTGGGCAAGAGACTCAGAGTGACTGAAAGAGGAGAAATTCTGATGACAGAGTGCTAAACTAATCACATTTACAGGTAGTCCTTGACTTACAATAGTTCATTTAGCGACCATTTGAAGTTACAACAGCACTGAAAAAATTGACTTAGAACCATTTCTCACACTTACGACCACTGCAGCATTCCCATGGTCACATGATCAAAATTCAGACACTTGGCAACTGACTCATATTTATGACCATTGCAGTGTCCAGGGGGTCCTGTGGTCCCCTTTTGGGACCTTCTGACAAGCAAAGTCAATGGGGAAGCCAGATTCACTTAACAACCACGTTACTAACTTCAGCCATGTTACTAACTTAACAACTGCAGTGATTCACTTAACAATTTTGGCAAGAAACATCATAAATGGGGCAAAATTCACTTAACAACTGTCTCACTTAGCAACAGAAATGTTGGGCTCAATTGTGGTCGTAAGCCGAGGACTACCTACAGTATATTCTCCCTCATGCACATGGTTTGTATCCACTTTAGGGTAATTTAATCAAAAGAAGTAACTCTCACACAAATAGGAAAACATTGGCTTCTGATTATTTTTCAAACAATGTACAATTATGTAGTTGATTTTCATTTTAGTGTACACGTTTTGTTTTTGTTTTTCATTGACTTTATTCTCAACAGCCACCCGGAGCCTTGCAACTGCAGTTGAGTTGCAATGCAATTAATCATTAAAATAGATCAATAAATCAGTGACAATTGCCAGCAAATGCCTTCCCGACATACTCTAATCAATCAACGTAGGAGACTAGAGTCTTAAAGCAGTGATCCCATGTCTAGATAGAGCCATCAGTTGAATCATTATGGGATGGTTCCCATGGACCCTTTTGTTCCTCTATCTGTTTGTCCCATGGAAATCTGGACTTTGTCAAACTTAATCAGCTGGGCCATACTGGGTCTGTCAGAGGGCAGACAGGATGTTTTCTATTTTCTTTAGAAATCAAGCCACAGAGTCTGTACTTAACCTCACCCTGATATGCCATAATCAGGGTTTCTTTGTGCTTTCTGTGTTCTTTCGTGCTCCACATTGGCCCCGTTCACACAATACTGTGACCTAAGTCACTAGAAAAATGACTCCCTTATGAGAATATCAAAAAGAAACCAATATATCCAGTCAATTAAAAGACGCTTGCTCCTGGGCAGGAAAGCTATGGCAAATCTAGACAGCATACTAAAAAGCAGAGACGTCACCCTGCCAACAAAAGTACATATAGTCAAGGCCATGGTTTTCCCAGTTGCAATGGATGGCTGTGAAAGTTGGACCATAAGAAAGGCTGAGCACCAAAGAATGGAGGCCTTTGAACTCTGGTGCTGGAGAAGACTCCTGCAAGGCGATCAAACCGGTCAGTCCTAGAGGAGATCAACCCCGACTGCTCTTTAGAAGGCCAGATCCTGAAGTTGAAACTCAAGTGCTTTGGCCACCTAATGAGAAGGAAGGACTCACTGGAGAAGAGCCTGATGCTGGGAAAGATGGAGGGCAATAGAAGAAGGGGACGACAGAGAATGAGGTGGCTGGATGGAGTCACTGAAGCAGTAGGCGTGAACTTAAATGGACTCCAGAAGAAGGTAGAGGACAGGAAGGCCTGGAGGAACGTTGTCCAGGGGGTCGCAATGGGTCGGACACGACTTCGCAACTAACAACAAAAATTCTCAAGAGATTAAATGGAGCAAAAACGAGATCCAATCATACATTGGAGTGAACTAACTCCATCCATACAGTTGTCATATAGGGATATATAAATCCAGATGATCAAACCCTTTTACCTATTTAAGCCTTCAAAAAAAAAAGAGTTTGAGAAACTGGAAAGCAAGTCCTTCTATTATCTTACCCCCCCAGGGTGAGTCCCTCCTATCCTTCCATAAGACCGTGAAGAGCTGGCTCTGCACTTGGCCTGGGGACCCAAAGGGGGAAGTCCCACACTGGAGGTGGCTGTCACATTGACAGCAAAAGCCACCTCCCTCCTTTGTATTCCTTGCTTCCTGCTGCCCATCTTTTGATGTCATTTTGTCCTTGTTTATTTCCTTGTTTCATAATTTTGCTACTGCTATGTTTACACTTCTTTTCATTTCTGTTTTTACTGTTATAAGCCGCCTAGAGTAGCCCCATGGCGAGATAGGCAGCAAAATTAATTTAACAAATGAATAAAGAAATAAATATCAAACTCATCACTGAGGCCTGGCAGCAGGGGATACTTCTCCCAAACACTGACTGGGGCATAATAGCAGTATTTCAGTATTTGAGAGGCTGCTGCGGGGAATAGGGGGGTCAACTTATTTTCCAAAGCACCTGAAGGCAGGACAAGAAGCAAAGGGGGAAACTAATCAAGGAGAGAAGCAACCTAGAACTAAGAAGAAACTTCCTGACAGTTAGAACAATTAATCAGTGGAACAATCTGCCTCCAGAAGTTGTGGATGCATCATCACTGGAGATTTTTAAGAAAAGATTGGACAGCTATTTGTCTGAGATGGTATAGGTCAGTGATGGCGAATCTTTTAGAGACTGAGTGCCCAAACTGCAACCCAAAACCCACATGTATTGTTGGGTGCCGGGTGGGTGTGGCCCTTTGGATGGGCGTGGCCCATTGGCTGGGCGTGGCTGCAGTGGTAACAGCAGACTGGGTGGGACTAAAAAGTTCAATCAATCAATTCCAACTTTGTGAGATTTTTTTTTTCCCACGAGAAGTTGAAATTGATTGATTGAACCGGGTTGTTTTTTTTTGCACACAGCAGCAGAGACCTTAAAGCGAAAAGGTTTTATAAAACCCAGCTGAAGGCCTAGGACTGGGGCAATGATGCACGTGCCCACAGAGAGGGCTCTGAGTGCCACCTGTGGCACGTGTGCCATAGGTTCGCCACCATTGGTATAGGTTCTCCTGCTTGAACAGGGGGTCCCTTCCAGCTCTATTTTATCCTGTCCTGTCCTGTCCTGTTCTACCCTATCCTACCCTACCCTACTCTACTCTACTTTATTCTAATTCTATTCTACCAAGCCATATTTAATATTGCCCATCAGATCAATGGAAAAAGGGCTAATGACAATGAAGCCCTGTCAGTATTCCCCTGGAACAGGGGTAGGCCACCTTGGCTCTTTTATGACTCGTGGACTTCAACTCCCAGAATTCCTGAGCCAGCCATGCTGAGGGGAAAGGGAGAGGTTTCCATGCTGAGCCATGCTGGCTCAGGAATTCTGGGAGTTGAAGTCCACGAGTCATAAAAGAGCCAAGGTGGCCTACCCCTGCGCTACACCACTGCTTCTCAGTGTGGATCAGTGTGATTTATTGGAAGATAGCCATGATTTAAATCTCACTCATTTCAACTGGAGAGATAAATGCAACTGGTTCTGGTCCCCACATCATGTTCCTGCACTACAGTATGAGCATCATACATACGTTTTATTTCTCACAATCAGTGTTTTCTCTGCCATGGAATGGGGATTCAGTGGCTCAAAACGTACAAGGTGCTGTGAGGTCACGTCTATAAGCTCGCCGGGCTGAAGGATGCTCTCTCCACCAGAAACAGACAAAAGTTCCAAAGCTATCAGCTCTCCGAGTCCTGGGAACGAACGGAATACAAGTGTCTTTTTTTTTAAATGTTGCAGCAAAGACATAGGGCTGAGATAATTAGCTCACCATGCAATTTATCGTAATACCTTGGGAGTTCAAAGGGGCCAAAGAAGCCACCATGGCCAACCATCAGTGGGAGAGTTCCTCACTGCAGGAGTTCTGATTAAATTATTCCCACAGAGGGTGGGTTCATTTCTGCTTAAATACATCCCACCAGGAGGAGGTGCACCCCCTCACCAGGTCACTGGTCTCACTCTTAGGCTGCAGTTACTATCAAGAAGCTTTCGTTAACATTCATCTATATATCAAGTTATCATCTATTGGCCCATCCATCCATCGATCCATCCATCCATTAGATTTTTATCATGCCTTTATTATTTTTATAAATAACTAATGAAGAGAAGGACAAGGGGGGACATAATAGCCGTGTTCCAATATCTCAGGGGCTGCCACAAAGAAGAGGGAGTCAAGCTATTCTCCAAAGTGCCTGAAGGCAGGACAAGAAGCAACGGATGGGAACTAATCCAGGAGAGAAGCAACCTAGAACTAAGGAGAAACTTCCTGACAGTTAGAACAATTAACCAGTGGAACAACCTGCCTCCAGAAGCGGTGAATGTGCCAACACTGGAAGTTTTTAAGAAGAGACTGGACGGCCATTTGTCTGAAATGGTATAGGGTTTCCTGCCTGAGCAGGGAGTTGGACTAGATGACCTCCAAGGTCCCTTCCAACTTTATTATTATTATTATTATTATTATTATTATTGTTGTTGTTGTTGTTGTTGTTGTTATTATGGCAAACATATCTAATACACCTTCCTCCTCCTATTTTTCCCCAACAACAATCTTGTGAGGTGGGTTGGGCTGAGAGAGAGAGGGACTACAGTCACCCAGCTGGCTTTCATGCCTATGACAAGACCAGAACTCCCCATCACCTAACAATTGGTCCAAAATCAGGTTATAAAATCAGGCACAATTCTCTTGATATAACTGCCTTGTTTAGTGAAGGAAACTCTGCTCTCAGTTGTGGACGTAATTCAAGGACTGCTTGTACATTATCGTGGCTCTCTAATGCTATAGTTAAGGAATGAAATATCTAAGAATCTACTCAGCTTGGCTTGTAGTTTTGTTAATTTGCATCTGGAGGGCTCCAACGACAGACATGATGCAGCCACAGTTAAAGGATCTTATAATTAGAGCCGTGGTGGCGCAGTGGTTAGAATGAAGTATTGCAGGCTGACTCTGCCAATTGCCAGGAGTTCGATCCTGACCGGCCTTCCATCCTTCTGAAGTCAGTAAAATGAGGAGCTAGATTGTTGGGGGCTATATGCTGACTCTGCAAACCGCTTAGAGAGGGTCGTAAAGCATTGTGAAGTCTGAGTGCTATTGCTAATACTTACACCCAGGGCTTTTTTTGTCATAAAACGCCCAGAACAGAGTTCCGGCACCTTTTTTGGATGAAACCTTGTAGGGTAGGGCAAGGCGGGTTGTATGACGTATGTGAATTCCGGCACCTTTTTTTTTTTTTTACCAAAAAAACACTGCTTACGCCAGTGGTTCTCAACCTGTGGGTCGGGACCCCATTTGGGGTCGATCGACCATTTCATGGGGGTCGCCAAGCAAGGCTGTCCGCCATTTTTTTTGTCCGCCATTTTTTTTGTCCACCATTTTTTCCCCCTTTTCCGGCGGGTGCCTTACCTCCCTTGGGCTGGGCCAGCTGGTGGTCGGCCTGCTCCGTCTCTGCTGCTTGCCAGCTACGCCTCGGCCGGTGCAGGGGGCGGAACCACGCATGCGCGGCGCTCCCGGGCAGGGAAAGTCCTCGACTTACGACCGGTTGGGTAGTCCTCGACGTACGACCGGTTTAGTCCTCGACTTACAACCGGTTTAGTCCTCGACTTACGACCGGTTTAGTCCTCGACTTACGACCGGTTGGGGTCGCGGCATTAAAAAGGTTGAGAACCACTGGCTTACGCCCAACCTCTAGCAAAAACACCAGGTAGTTTAGATTTAATGAAAAAAACCCAAAGAGATGATAGTGGCAAACCTGTGACGATAATCTCGTGGATATGGCAGTTGTCACAAACGATGATGTAGGTCACCGATACGATTTCAGCAGAACTGGGCATGAACACCACCTGAAAGTGAATATTTCTGCATCATCAAAACATCAGCAGCCGTAAGAATTTTTTTTTTAAAGAGGTAAGAAACTAAAACTGGTAAATGTCATCATGAATTTCCCCCAGGATGTTGTGTGGCAATTCTCTAAGAATCCCAGTTAGTGATCTGTAGCTCCCACAGCGTTCTAACCCTTAGTCTATACAAATGTTTTTTTAAAAAAAATAAATATATTTTGCTGGAAAACCTTCCTTACTACAGGTAGTCTTCAACCTATGACCACAATTTATGTTGCTAAGTGAGAAATTTGTTCACTGAGTTTTGCCCCATTTTATGGTCTTTCTTTCCACAGTTGTTAAGTGAATCACTGCAGTTGTGAAGTTAATAACACGATTGATAAGTGAATCTGGCTTCCCCCATTGACTCTGCTTGTCAGAAGGTCGCAAAAGGGGATCACGTGATCCTGGGGCACTGCAACCGTCATTAAATATGAACCAGTTGCCAATTTTGTGAATTTTGATCACATTAACCATGGGGTGCCAGAATGATCATAAGTATGAAAACTGCCATAAGTCCCTTTTTTCGGTGTTGTTGTAACTTTGAATGGTCACTAAATGAACTATTGTAAGTCGAGGACTATCTCTACCATTCCTCCTTTCAAAATTTAATGCCAAAACTTACATTTCCAGGTTATCAATCGCTTTAGAGCTGGCTATCAAGGAGATTTTATACAGATAGTCTCCAGTTAACTACAGTAATTGGGACCAGCAAAACTGGTCATTGTCATAAGTGCGAGGTTATGTGACCAAGCCAAGTTAACAATAGCAGTTCCAGCACTTCCATTGGTGGGTTAAGTGAAACCTGCTTGGTCATGTGACGTCACGTGATTGACTTTCTTGATCACCTGCCAGCTTTACCATTGATTTTGCTTGTCAGAAGCTGGCAGTGAAGGTTGCAAATTGGTGATCATATGGCAAATGGTACACTGTGATTGTTGCAATTGCAAGCCTGTTAACCAAGCAAAACTGTAATCCTATGATCACAACAACTGCCACAACTTTGAGGACCAGCCATTAAGTCTCTTTGTTCAATGCTGTAATAACATCAAATGATTGCTGAATGAATGGCTTTTAACCGACTGCCTGTATTTCCTCCTCTTTACCCCATTTAGCCCAGAAACTTTAAGCCATTTTCTTCCTACTAGTAAGTTTCTATATTGTAGAAAAGTCAGAAATAAGTGTAGCAAAACTACTTCTAGTATAGAAAAGAAGAAGGGGGAAAATTTTCTTCTCTCCGTTATTTTATTCATCAGGTTTGCTTATCATCAGTAAATAAAAATATCATCTGAGAAAATTGTGGTACTGTGAAACTTTTCTTATCTTTCAGTGTGGAAACAAATTGTGAACAAAGCACACTCGCTATAACTCACTATAAAGTTTGGTCAAGTGGTTATCCTTCCCACTATTTACTTTTGAATTTTCTTTGTATCGTATACTATAAACCAGGGGTAGGCCACCTTGGCTCTTTTATGACTCGTGGACTTCAACTCCCAGAATTCCTGAGCCAGCATGGCTCAGCATGGAAACCTCTCCCTTTCCCCTCAGCATGGCTGGCTCAGGAATTCTGGGAGTTGAAGTCCATGAGTCATAAAAGAGCCAAGGTGGCCTACCTCTGGCCTAGGCCTAGGCCGCTTTATGACTCGTGGACTTCAACTCCCAGAATTCCTGAGCCAGCATGGCTCAGCTTGGAAACTCTCCCTTTCCCCTCAGCATGGCTGGCTCAGGAATTCTGGGAGTTGAAGTCCACCAGTCATAAAAGAGCCAAGGTGGCCTACCCCTGCTATAAACTAATAAAAATTTTGGAATCAGAAGGAGCCAGGCTAGAAAGCAGACCGAGTGTTCTAGTCCCACTTTGAAAACCAGTTGGGTGGCTTTGGGCCGTTCGCCAGGACACTCTGAATTCTAGTCCTGCTTTAGACGTGAAAACTGGCTGGGTGACTTTGGGGCAGTCCTTCTCTCTCTCAGTCCCACTTATAAGGTTGTTGCCGCGTAAATAGGAAGAAGAAGGTATGTTGGATACGTCCACTGCCTTGAGTTATTGGTAAAAATAATAAAGGCGAGATATAAATAATTAAATAAAAAATAACCACGGTGCATGGTACAATTCTACATAAATCCCCCTGGGACTTGGAAAGTAACCAATCCTAATATAAATTCCCTAGTCAAACGAAGAGGGCATCGGCTACATCCTGCTTTAGAATAAGCAAAGCGGAAATAAAATGAAAACGGCATTATTAAGTTTGCAAGGTAGGCTGGAAGCATGAGCGATATTTTCCAAAGCGCCTGAAGGCAGGACAAGAGGCAACGGGTGGAAAGTAACCAAGGAGAGAAGCAACCTAGAACTAAGGAGAAACTTCCTGACAGTCAGAACAATTAATCAGTGGAACTCCTTGCCACCAGAAGTGGTGAATGCTCCAACACTGGAAGTTTTTAAGAAGAGACTGGATAGCCATTTGTCCGAAATGGTATAGGGTTTCCTGCCTGAGCAGGGGGTTGGACTAGATGACCTCCAAGGTCCCTTCCAACTTTATCATCATCATCATCATCATCATCATCATCATCATCATCATCATCATCATCATCATCATCATCATTATTATTATTATTATTACCAGGAACTGACCTCAATTGGGATAGACTGACCGGGAATAAGTTCAAAGACAGCCGGACAAATCCCAAATGGATGTTGCTTCACGTAACCCAGAGTGGCGACAGACTTCAAATAAAGAGAAGAAAAAAAATGAATCAGTTTACGAGCTGATTCGCGTGACCAGTTTGCCCCAAGAGAAGTACAGAGCCCTGACTAAGTTTCAAAGGGAGGAATTCTTCCTGCTATTCAACCCAAGCAGCTTCCACTCATCTGTCTCTGCTATTCCTCAAAAAGTGGCTTTTGAGACTTGTGCTAGCTGAGGCAGGGTTATGATTTGTTTTATTTTTGGCTAGCCCAGTGATGGTGAACCTTTTAGAGACCGAGTGCCCAAACTGCAATCCAAAACCCATTTATGTATCATCAGGTGCCGGGTGGGCATGGCCCATTGGATGGGTGTGGCCCATTGGGTGTGTGTGGCCCATTGGGTGGGCGTGGCTGCGGTGGTAACGGCAGACTGGGTGGGACTAAAAAGTTCAATCAATCAATTCCAACTTTGCAAGATCTTTTTTTTTCCCTGCAAGAAGTTGAAATTGATTGATTGATTGAACCTTTTTTTTTTTTTG